CTAGGCTTGGGCCTGGTTTGGTGCTGGTCATTGTGGCCATCTGGGGAGTAAACCAGCAGATGGAAAATCTTTTTTTTCTCCCTTTCTCTTTCTGTAACTCTTTCGAATAAATAGATTTTAAAAAACCATTAGATGGTTACTGATAAATAAGGACTTATTATTGCCATTTTGTAGTTTCTGTTTTACAATTCCTTCCTCTGTGGCTGTCTTCCCTTGTGATTTGACATCTTTTTGTAGTGTTATGTTTTGATTTCTTTCTCTTTTCTGCATTTACTGTAGCTTTGTCTTTATGATTATGGTGAGTCTAACATAAAATATTTTAAACCATAACTATTTTAAACTGATAGCAATTTAAATCATGTACAAAATACTGTGTCTCATATCTTTGTTATGGGTGTCATAACGTACATCTATTTATATCACATATCCATTAGCAAATTTTTATTAAGTAACTTGTAGTTATATTGATGCTTTTTTGTCTTGACTTTCACTCTAGAGTTAAAAGTGATTTGTATATCACCATTGCAGTATTAAAATATCATGAATTGGACTCCATACTGCAATGACAATATCTGTGAAGGATCAGTTTTGGGATCTTTGGCACATACACAAATCTACAGATGCTTAATTATTTACCCAAAATAGTGCAGTGTTTGCATGTAACCTGTGTACATCCTCAAGTCTACTTACACAATCCCAAGATTATTCATAATACCACATAGGGCAGGGACCCAGTGCTGTAGCATAGAGGCAAAGGTCCTCACCTTGCAGGCTTCAGGATTCCATATGGGCATCGGTTCTACTTCCAGCAGCCCACTTCCCATGCAGCTCCCTGCTTGTGGCCTGAGAAAGCAATGCAGGACGGCCCAAAGCCTTGGCACCCTATACCCATGCGGGAGACCCAAAAGAATCTCCTGGTTCCTGACTTCTGGTTTCAGATCAGCTCAGCTCTGGCCATTGTGGCCACCTGGGGAGTGAATCATCGGACAGAAGATCTTCCTCTCTGTATATCTGCCTTTCCAATAAAAATAAATAAAAATCTTTTAAAATATACCATATAAGGCAAGGTAAATAGTTGTTACACTGTAACTGCATTGTTTAATTTGTTCATGTTCAGTATGGATGCATTTTCATGAATCCTTTTGATCATCAGTGACTGGTGGAATCAGTAGATGTGTTATCCATGGTCACAGAAGTAAGACTGTACTTACTTTTACCAAGAAGTGTGATGCTGTCACCTGTTTTTGCGGTGCTAATTTGCATTCTTTGTCTGAACTCTCTTTAGCACTGTGTGTGAGACAGGGCTAGAGGAGTGAACTCGGCTAGCGCTTGTGTGGCAAAGTCTCATTCATTCATTTCTGAAAGACGGCTTTTCTGGGGAAGTACTCTTGCTTGGAAGTTTTGTCTTGAAGCATTTTAACGGCATTCTCCCATTCTTCCGACCCTCGAGGGTTCTGCTAAGTAATCAATCCATGGGTAGTCACCCTGTGTGGGACAGGTCACTTTTTCTTGCTGCTATCAAGATTACCTTTGTCATCAATCATTAAAATTTTTATTATAATGTGTCTTGGTAACAGTCTCTTGACATTAAATGTATTTGGAATTCTTTAGGCCTCGTGGATCATACAAATTTTCCTCCCCAAAGTTTGAGAGTTTTCTATTAATGTTTGTCTGAGTGTCTTGCCCTTTGTCTGACCCTTCTGAGGAGCCCATAATGTTTGCATTTGGAGAAGCAATCAACTAAACCCTCCTGTCTTTATTGCCTGGCTTGTCCAGCTTTTGAAGAGACCCTGTAATTGTATGCCCTCCTGATCCTGCAAGGCTTCAAAGGGTTCAAGACTGTGTGCCTTCTTCCAATGCAGCTGGCAAGCCAGCTATGCTATCTGTGCTCCCGTCTTCAGGGACATGTGTGTTGTCTGCAGAGAACTATAAGCACTGGCCAAGGTGGGGGGAGGGGTGTGTGTGTGTGTGTGTGTGTGTGTGTGTGTGTGTGTGTGTGTGTGTGTAAGGAGTGCTATGGATTCTTGTTAGCAAGTGGGAGACCTGCAAATGATATCTCATGGCTTCACTGACAAGGCTCTTTGCAGTAAACATAAGCCAAGTGTCAGGCATTCTAGCTGTTTAGTGAGGTCTGCAGTGTGATTGCCTTGAATCCTTATGCTCTGCTCCTGTCTGTCCCAGCCTGCTCCATCAGGCCAATCCTTTCCACTTTCTAGGAGAGGTGAGGAAAAATGTAGATCTCTTGGCCAATTCCACAAAGCTGAGAAATCTGGGAGAGAATCTGAACTCTGAAATGGTCTCTTACATGTTGGGAGCTGCATCGTCTTAGGAAAGGGTGATATGGGGAAATAGAAATTGTCTTCTTGGGCCCGGAGCGGTGGCGCAAGTGGTTAAAGGTCCTCGCCTTGCACGCCCGGGATCCCATATGGGCGCCGGTTCTAATCCCGGCAGCCCCGCTTCCCTTCCAGCTCCCTGCCTGTGGCCTGGGAAAGCAGTCGAGGACAGCCCAGAGCTTTGGGAACCTGCACCCGCGTGGGAGACCCAGAAGAGGCTCCTGGCTTCGGATCGGCATAGTATCGGCCCGTTGCGCTCACTTGGGGGGTGAATCATCGGACGGAAGATCTTCCTCTCTGTCTCTCCTCTCTGTATATCTGCCTTTCCAATGACAAAATAATAAAAATAAATCTTTAAAAAAAAAAAAAAAGAAATTGTCTTCTTATCTTCGTCAGTGTATCTGTTATTGTATGTTGTTATTTGTTCTACCAAGATGCTGGAAACTTCCTTCTGTACTTCTGGTGTCCCATGAAGATTTCGTCATCTGTGAATTGTTACTAAAATAAGTACTTCTGTAGAGACTTGAGGGCTGGAACCTCCTGTCATCTAGTTAGTCTCCAAGAATTATACTCTTGTCCTAGCATTTGAGTATCATTTCTTTCTTCTTAAGAACTGTAAACAAATAATTTTGCAATGGGGAATAGTCCTTATCCAGTAATTAACATGAAGATTCTAAATGCGCCCACCTGTGAATTTCCACAGGTGCTTCTCCCTGGGTCAAGCTTCTCATTCTTTACATTTCTGGGCATTTCCTGGAGGATCTTCTATAACACTGATTCTGATTCAGAAGTTTCTGATCCAGGGCAGGAGGCTGATATTCTGAACTTCTTAAGAAGCTTCCAAATGATGCTGGTTTCTGGGAACTGCTTTGCAAGGTGTACTGTGTCATAGTTACACTCACACAAGAGTTGGAGAGAATTATCTTGGTAGTGTAGTTAATACAGAGAAATAACAGACAGCCATCTGGGGAGGTGCATGTGGGTAGATCATGATGGTTAGATACCTGCTTAGAGCGTAGAAAACCACATTGTCTGTTTAATCCAATAATAGGGTTGTTAACAGAAGACCTATCTCTGTAACTAAAGTCAAGGTAGACCACATTGCTCCTACAAAGATTTCTAAGTACTGAAAACCCGAAATGGGTGCCCATTATTTTTTTTTAAATAATACGCTACTTTGTGAAAGGAGGCAATTTTCTGGGATTTTCCCCTGAACCCCTGTCAGAATATAAAGTGGCTTTGCTGCCTGTCTCCTGGGCGCTGTTTGAAGGCTACAACTGTCTTCAAAGCAGGAATACCCTCAAAGACCAAGTGATCACATAAAAGTGGTTGTTGTCCTCTGTCTCCTCCTGAGTGTGCTGTCTGCACTATTCTGCTTCTTGGCAGTTTTGAAGGTAATAATCATTTAGGAAACAGTCTACTTTGAAATACCAAAATTCACAGGTATTTTTTAAGCTATGTGAACAAACTAGAAATGATTCCTGATCTAGTTTTTGGCTGAGGTGGGAAGCTCTGGGAGAGGGTATCCACTGTGTAAATCAGAAATGACAGCCCTTGTTAATGATATTAGCTTTAGCAATTAGAATGGTTGCCTTCTCTGGAGTGCTAACCAGAGGTGGGGGTGGGAGTTTCCTCCGGCCCACTGCTCCCAGCTGTTGTTGCTTCACTTTCAATCAGCCATCCAGGCCGGCCAGCTCTGCTGCTGTGGTGTTTCTGTCATCTCATCTCTCTCTTTTCCCACTGTAGTTGCCCCCCCCAGAGGTCCTCATCCCTTCTCCCAATAGCCATTACAGGAATTTGTTGAACGGAGTTGACAACTCCAGGTGTATTTAAATCTAGCCACCTCCCCTTTTGCCCTCCGAGTGCGTCTGGAGCCCAGATCTAAGCATCATATTTCTTCCCCATGAAAACACCAACACCTGTTGACTTCCCAGACCTTGCAGGAGAAATAGACTTTCAGCATGATTTCTGCTTCTACTATCCTTCCTTAAGATACTGTCATTTCTGATTCTATTGTAATCACCCCTTCCCAGCCCTTCAATCCTGTCATGTGACTCTTGGACATTTAATTAAACACACAGGGCATCTTCTCATAGCTTCTCCTTTGCTTAAGCAGAGCTCTCTGCCTGGAATCTGACTCCATGCTTGCTCTACTTTTGGTTGTTACTCAGGATGAAAAGACATTTCCTTGGGAAAATCTTTCTGAAACTTCCTCCTCTCTTCTCCCGTAGTCCCCTGCTCATGTGTCTCCCAGAGTAGGCGTCTGTTATTTATCTGTGTTTCTTCCAGCAGATCTAATCTCTGCTCCTGAGCTCTTATTGCAGACATGCTTGTTTGTATGTGAGTTCTAGCAAAGGAGCTGGCCTGTAAGAGATGCCTAATGAATGACTCAGCAGTATGTAGAGGTAGAGTAGATAGAAAGCTGGATAAGTGAAAGAACAAAATGGAGAGATTCAGTCTTCGTGAATGACATGAAACATTGGTAGTTGCAAATTAAAAGGCAAGAGATTTGTAAGCACGTGTGTGTATTTTACTACCACAGGGGCTCTAAGCTGTGAATGTTTGTTAAAATGACGTTTAGCATCAAATGGACCTAATAACTTGAATTTTAAAAGAACACATTTTATTCTTGCTTGGACCCACTTCTTCATGTTTCCCTTATTCTAGAATGACAGAGGTCTCCAGCTCGTGGCCAACTCCATGGTGTGGGTCCCAGAAGGGGGAATGCTGCAGATTACCAGCAAGATTCTAAAGGCTGAAGCTGCAGGGACCAGCGCGGAGGAAATCATCTACAAGATTACAGAAGATGCCCCCCAATTTGGTAACTCCTTCCCCTGCCCCCACTTCTTTTTTGCTTTTCAGCCTGATTTGGCCATTGCATTCAGCAGTCTAGGACTGGATGCTGAACAGTGCCATACAGAAAGATGGCAATTTCAATGAACTAGACTTTCTTTTCCCTATTTTAAAAAATGTATTTACTTATTGATTTATTCACTTATTTGGAAAGCAGTTACAGAGAGAGAGAGAGAGACAGAGCAACAGAAAGTGAATGTGAAAAAGAAAGAGGGAATGACAATGAATCTTCTACCTGCTGGGTCACTCCTTGGCTTTAAGGATAACTATTCTTTTTATTTTCATGAAAACTTCTCTAGCTTGCAGAAATGACTGAGAACGTGTGGATATTTGTGGGTTTTTGTGCCTGGGTTATTTCAGTTAACATGACTTCCTCCTAGTCCCACGTGCTACCACAAACTCTCTGAGTAGTATTCCATTGCAAAATACCTAAATTTTAGCTTCAATACAACTTCATTTTGCAGATTTAAAAAACTGAGGTAAAATGGCTTGCTAGTAAATGTCAGTTTGATTTCAAGTGTCAGGCTCTTGAACTTCACTTATACCCCTTTTAGATATTACCTGATCTGTTTTTAATGAGGCCTTAAACATTTACATTGCAATGTTTCCGATGTGCTGCCTGCCACTTCTCCTTCCAAAAAGATGGTGGAAGACTCTAACCCTCTTCACCTAGAAATGCTGGGTAAGACATAGCAAGAATGGCAAGGTAGGATGGTGGTTCAGCATGGTGGTACAGTGGGTTAAGCTATAGACTGTGATGACAGCATCCTGTGTGAGTGCTGATTTTAATGCTGACTGCTCTACTTCTGATACAGCTCCCTGCTGATGTGCCTTGGAATGCAGAGGATGGTGGTACAAGTGCTTGGGCCTCTGCACCCAAGTGGGGAACACAAACTAAGCTCCTAGCTCTGGCTTTGGCCTGGCTCATCCCTGAATGTTATGGTTATTTGCGGAGTGTCTTTGTACCTCTGCTTTTCAAATAAATAAATAAGTGCATAAATAAATCTTTACCCCTCCCTTCCCTGCTACCTGGCACACACAATGATAAGATATCTACCACTAACTTTCAAAAAAAAACAAACCGAGAAGTCTCTGGGTACAGTTGGCAGCCATCCCTGGGCAGTCCGTGCTGGTGCAGCTTCCTTGTGTGGGGTTAAGGATGACTCCATCATCAGAGAGGGCCTAGAGTTTGCTGCCCATGGCCAGACATGGACTTGGAATGGAGAACACGCACAAATCCAAGAATCTGGAAGGCCCCATCTTCAGGAAGTGAGACAGGATAGAGCACAAGAAGCTCACAAGTATTGAGACGACCAAGAACTCTTCCCATCTTTCCAAGTGTTCAGGATAGAGCAAAACTTCTGTTAAATGTTTAGAAATCCTTATGTGTACCTCCCGCAGATCTGGAATTCAGTTACAGTGTGTGCCTTTTCTGAGAAACCCAAAGCTGAGATACCATCAGCGGCCAAAGACACTTGATGAGTTCTTTGCCGAAACAACTAGACACATCTTTAGGAGTCCTCTCTCAGTTGGTCCACTTGGAACTCTCACAAACAAAACCATTGTAGGTGATCTCAGAATTTAAATTAAAAAAAATGAAGAAACAATCTGTAATACTAAAACCAAAACAAGTATGATAAAAAATCCATATATCTCAAATGAAGAAACAATCTTGTAAAAACTATGAAATAAGCATTTATGATGTAAAGATAGAAAATAAGGAAATAAAAGTGCAGGGGAAAAGAAAAATGTTCTAAAAACAGTGAGCAGATTTTTTAAAAAGAATTAAAGTGGTCATCTGAAATGAAAATTATATTACGAATGAATCTTTTTACTCTGGACTATTAAATGTTTAATATACATTTTCAGTAGTGAAGGAAAAATCCTGATAATTTAGAAATCATTTTAATGTCTTAAAAGACATTTTGAAAAGCAAAATCTGCTCAATTGAGCTTTAGTTGTGAACCAGCCTAGTTGAATTGTCATTCATCACAGTGGTATAATCTTGAGGAAACCAAGTGTACCCCTTGGACTGTAAATTAGTTTGAATATTTAGGATAAATAATTTTTTTAAACTTTTTACATTAAAATAATAATGTTAAAGGTTGCAAAAATAGTACAGTTACTGAATACATTTATTTATTTTCCTCATTATTTTTAAAGATTATTTATTTATGGGAAAGTCAGAGTTATTGAAAGGAGAGATACGGAGAGAGAGGGAAAGAGATAGATGGAGAGGGAGGGGGAGAGAGAGAGCGAGAGAGCTCCTCCATCCACTACCTCATTCTCCTGATGGATGCCAATGGGCAGGACTGGGCCAGACTTAAGTCAGGAGTTCCATTCTTGGCAAGGCCCCAGAAATTTGCACCATCTTCCACTGCTTTTCCTACACCACTATGAGAGAGCTGGATTGCACGTGCAACACCGAGGACAGCAACTGGCACTCATATGCAATGTTGGTTTTGCAGGAGATGGTTCTGTAACACAATACTCGCCCTAGTTTTCTCCTATGACTGAGATCTTGCATGATTATAGAGCAGTTTGCATAAGCAGGAAATTAAAAATGACCTGATGCTATTAATGACCTTATGGAGACTTTGTTAAGATTTTGTCAGTTTTCTCACTAATGTCCTTTTTGAACACAATCAAGGGTCCTTACATGCATTTAATTCTCATGCTTGATCTCCATTGATGTGTAGCAGTTACTTTCTCAGACTTTTGTGACTTCAGCACACTTTAAGAGTTCTGGTCAAGTAGTTGTAGAATCTCATTCAATCCAGGTTTGTCTAATACTGTCACCTTATCATATTAATGTTGTGTCTTTCCCCCTTTCTCAGTGCATCATAGCAGCATATGCATGATGTAATCCCTTCTTTTGGCTGCTGCCATTAAATTTGATTGCTTGGATAAAGTTGTAGCTGCTAGATTTTTCCCCAGAAAGTTGTTACTTTTTACATTTTAAGCAAATATCCTGTTCTCAGCATACTATCAACAGCTGATTTTAAGCTAGATGGTTGTTAAGTCCTTTTCATCTCTACAACTTTATGGCTCTTTTGATGTATTAATTTTTCTACCTCTATCTTGATCACTAAAAGCCAAAAAGTTAACTCTCTAGATGTCTTAGAAATAATCCAGTATTCCTTTGAGTATTAAATAAAACAATGCTGAATTGAATGGCTTTTGAGCATATAAAAGTTTGCCTTTTTTTGGCTTGATAAATGTTGTATGTGCTTCACTGTGACCCTTTCCTGTTAGAACTCATTTAATTAACTTCTTCCTAGAAATATAATCTTTCTGTGTACCCTGAGTTCCCTATTAGGAATAATCCAATTATGTTACCTTTAGGAATTATTCAGGGGTGAAAGAGTGGGGGAAACCAGAACCCACTTAACAGAAATTACTTATTTATTCATCTATCCCAATGATGTGAAATTGTAAGCCTTGGTTACCGTGTATCCACACATCACTGTAAAATATTCAGTTTGCGCTTACAGATTTTTAAGAATTGACCTTGGAGTGTATCAAAATGCAGATTGCTTGTGTAGCATATTCATAAATTTCATTCATCCTCTTGCACACATAGCGTTGTTTCCAAACCTCAGTTTAGATAAGCTGTTTAATGATTATATTTTTTTAGCTGTTTCACAGTTCTGAAAGTGAACTTAATGAGATGGTTTTAATGCAGCAACTTGAATATCGTCTGAGGGAAAATCAACTTAATATAACTTATGACCAAATCTCCATTATTTATCCTGGTATGAGGAAGCATTTATACAAATGATCCCAATCTCAAAATAACCCATGGAGATTCAGATGAAATTTCAATTCTTAAAAGCTGTTAAATCTCTTTTAAACTCGTGATTATAATGCAGACTTCACTATCGAGATCATAAATGGAGATAACTTGATGGTTTTGAATCCTGGAATTTCATACTTGTAGAGTATTGTCTCCTTGTTATTCTGCTGTGATAAAAGCAAAGATGAGATACCACACAAAAGTTTATCTCCCACTTCTTTGCAGTTAATCCCACAAAATCCTTGCATTTCCCCTTTCCTGCTGATGGACCTAGGCACCTGTATTCAACATATTCAGGACTGAGTTTCATGTCCCCTGCCACCTGATAGCCTGCCTTAAGTCCATCAGTGGCATCCAGGCACCCAGCTTAATGGGAGCTTAATGGGAGCTTCTCCTTGATTCCGTCCCTCGTCACCTTTGCAATTGGGTATGTCAAGCACTACTGAGTTCTTTTCCTCAGATGCTTCTTTGCGTTTCTTTCTAGTCTTCCCTAACTCAGGTGTCACCTCTCTGGGATTTTCTAGTCATCTCCTACTCAGTCAAACTATAAACACAAATGTTAGCTACTGCTTTTGCCATGTCTACAGAACAAAGTCGAGCTTCATTAGCAAGACTTCTAGAACTTGTAAGCATCTGTATTCTGATCACACTTGTATGTTGGAAATCAGTTCATGCCATTCACCAACAGAAAAATCAGCCTCTCAGGTGCCTGTGAGGCTGATCTGCAGGAGCAGGCATTTTGTCTTGCTTACCTATGAATCCTAACCCTGACTAGCCTAGCGCCAACACTGGCAATCATAGTTGAAATTAATGGAAGTAACTCATATCCAATGGCTCATGTTAATCTATATACCATAAAAGTGACTTTTTTTATGGCACGGATTTATTTTGCTAGACCTTGTTAGGAAAATTCTTTATGTTGTATAACAGAGTTGCTAGGAATTCAGCATTTGAGTATTTTCTGTCTTCTATTCTGTCTATTTTCATTGTGGAAATTGCCTGTCAGCATACTTTGTAACTGTATTCACACCGTCTACATCTTGGGGAGCCATGACATAATTTGAACCAGGAGAGGTTCATAATGGAATTTTGACTTGGATACATGGGAGAAAGAATAAAAGAAACAGGACTAGGATGAGTTGGTTCTGCATATGATTGTATAAAGAAGAAGAGTGACTTTTTTTCTCTCATTTCAGTACTTCATTATCCATGACATGTTCCTTTTTAACTTGAATTTATTATATATAAATATTAGAATAAGTGTTTACGTGGAGTATGAAAATGAATTTCTCTGGGGTGATCAGAATGCACTAACAATTGTCAATATGTCCAGAGTTTTAAATCTGGATATCCTCTTATAGAACCTTTTGAATAAACGATGTAGTATATGCATAGTCGCTCTCCTCTCTCTCTTCCCACCCCCGTGTTTCTTGCTCGCAGAGGAGTAACATGGCTTCTTTCAGATTTACTGTTGGATACATTTTCTTTTTAAATCACAAACTGTTTCACAGACATACAAAAATTGTATTTGTGAGTTACACATGATATTTTGATATACATACATATATATTTCTATATAGACATTGTATAGGTATACAGCGCATGATATCTAGAAAGGATAAATAAATTTGCCTAAAAGGAAATTTAATATTTCTTTGTGGTTAAAATAACTCAAATCCTATCTTTTAGGGATTTTTCTGAAAAAAAAAATTATATGAAAGGTAAGCATGGGTGGCCGGGGAGAGTGAACACACAAAAGTACTTTCCCACCTTCTGGTTCATTCCCTGGATGCCTGTGGAAGCCAGGGCCCTCTAGGCTGCTCCTGGGCACTGGGAATGCAGTTTCAGTCTCCCACATGAGTGGCAGGGGTCCATTTACCTGAGCCCTCATTTCTGCTCCTAAGGGGACACACTGCTGGAAGTCACACTCAGGAGTGTAGCTGGGACTCACACCTCGTCATTATGTTACTGGAGGATTCTTTCTGATCAACCTGTTAACCAGCAGGCCAACCAAGTACCCATTTCTCTAGGGATTCCCCCCCACCTTTTTTAAGGGCATTATTTGTAGGCACTGCACAGTAGCACCCTAGATGTTGTTATTTTCTGTGTATGACTTAGTACCCATTGATTATGCTTTGCTCGTCTCTTCCCACATCCTTTTATTTCCCATCTCTGATAATCACTCTTATACTCTTCTATGAGATCTCCACCTGTGAGTGAGATCGTGCAATATTTATCTGTTTGTGCTAACACAAATGACCTCCAATTCTATCCTTGGTGTTGCAAATGACAATATGTTGTCCCTTTTTGTGGCTGAGTAGTGCTCCATCATGGATGTGGACCTCATTTCTTGATCACTTCATGAACAGATAGACACAAGTTGTTTGCATTTTTTTTTAATTCTCTTGCATAGTACTATGATAAGCATGGTGATGCAGGGAGTTTCATTTCTCTGGGAAATGTAACCAGTAGGAGATTGCTAGGTCATATGTTTGCCCCCTTTTTAATTAAGGCTGGGGGGAATCATGATCCTGTTTCCTACAAAATGGCTACAATAATCTACATTCCTGCCAGCAGTGTGCAATGGTTCCTTTCCCCTACATTCTCCCCAGCGTTTGTTGTCCTTTACTGGAGCGAGGTGATATCACATTTTTGGATTCCTGATGTCCAATTTCTAACATTTTCATGCTACCAATGAGGAAAAGAGATTTGTAGAGGGGTCAGCTCTTGCAGCTGGAAGTGGTAGACCTGAGTGTAAACCACCACATGAAGCACTGTAGTTCCATGCCTGCCATATGTCTTTTAGTGGTAGCTTTTATTATTTAAATAGGGCAGAATTCTCCCATGAATGTTGCTGAATTTTTTTTTCTGATTTTCCATTGTACTTAAATGTGAACTTTCTGCTTTCTTTTAACATAGAGCATTAATGGTAGAAATTAATTTATGCAGCAACTGGCTTCTGAGTTTTGGTTCACAATGATTGCTACTCTTAGGATTTTCAATGTAATGTTAATAAACACAAATCAGCAACTTCACACATGAATTGCCCTTGAGTAACTTTTAGCTCAGTTAGGTGAAAGACTCTAGCCTTGTGTTTTAAGGCGGATTTGGTGATCTTATTGAATTCTGTATTGACACCTAATTTTTTGTATACCTTAGATAAAAGTAAAGAAATACATCATCAGTTTCAGTTTAAAACCAAGAGTGTGTGCTGGAGGAGAGGAGCTAAGATGGGAGCGAAGAACTGGGACCCTTGCTAACATGGTTCTGTGCTTGGCTAGGCGAGGTGGTCTTACTGGTGAACATGCCTGCGGACAGCCCTGCCAATGCAGGGCAGCACCTGCCCGATGGGAGGACAGCAACCCCCACCAGCACCTTCACCCAGCAGGACATCAACGAAGGCATCGTGTGGTACAGGCACTCAGGAGCCTCTGCGCAGAGTGACTCCTTCGGCTTCCAGGTATGCCGGGCTGCCCAACACTGTAGAGGTTCTCTGGCAAACATCACCCTTGTTTGTTGCTGAACATGGATACTGGAAAAAAATCATCTTTGGTGGGAAGGGGTCACGAGTAATTAAAAGTTTTGAGAGGTTATGAACTTGTCAGGGCTGTCCTTGCCAAGGTGACCACAGGTGACATATAAAATTCACTAAGGCCATAGCAGGCCAATTATTAAGTTGATTATATGTATATCCCACATATGTTAAGAGTTCTTAGCAGAAAGGCCTCCAGCAAAAATGGTCAAAGTCTTCGAAAGTGTCTTAAAAATATAAAGCTCTTACATGGAGAGAGAAATCTTTTGGGTATATATATATATATTTTTTTACCTATTAACCATCTTATGATAATGGACCTACAGCCAAACTCAGTGGGTTTAGGTGTTGTTTCTGTTATTTTTAAGGTATGAAACTTTGGACAAGTTACTTGGATAAAACCTTTATGCTTTAATTTCTTTGTGTCTAAAAAGCAATTATTGTGTGTTTAATGAATTCATGTAAATAAAACATTCAGAATACTGCCTATCACATAGTAAGAACTACATGGTCACCATTTACACAAATTGATCAAATATCCAAACATAAGGAGAATCATTAAAAATAAGAAAGATATCGATTCCTTTCTGTGGCCACTACTAGCATAGAAATTAATAAACTTTAGAAAAATTAAAATAGGAAATATAAACATTAGAAATTAATAACCAGTAAACAAAAATGTATGGTACTTAGGTTACTTTCAGTGGTCTCATATAATTGCTATGTCTTAAAGGAAATCAAGATAATAAACTTAAGATATATTGATGAGAAGAAAATAGCATAGCAAAACTTAAAAGCCGTGCATAAAATTATACTGAGAAGAAAACTGATGGCAGATTTTCGTATCAATCAACCAAGCACAAAAAATAAATGGACTAAATTTTTAACTCCAGAAACTTGAAAACCACAAGGGAAACCTACAGACAACAAAAGGAAGGAATTACTAGATATCAACAGAGGAATGGATATTAGAACTGACAGATGATTTCAAACCATGAATTTTTTCAAAAGACCAATAAAGTGAAACAAATCTCTGACAAGCACAATTTGGAAGTAAAAAATTAAACAAAAATGCAAAAACAATGAGGAGTTAGGAATGACAAAGGGTGAGTAAGCTGGGTTATAGAGAAGCGACTTGGTGAAGTGTGGCAGAAGGCAAGCTCTTTCATCAGTTGTCTCCTGAAATGAAAGACTTTTCTCATATAAAGGAATCCAATAGGGGAGAAACTAACCCTGATAGCACACCTTGCGACAATTGCCACCTGTTCTGCTTCCATGCCCTGCGCCTGTATCTTTCTTACTTAGATTGCATTATGTAAAACGTGATTTTCAGGAAGTGCGTCAAAGTAAATCAGGAAACCATTAAAATCAAATGACACTGAGCACATTGAATGCCCCATAAGTGGACAAATGCTGTGTGCCCTTTGCGTGAGTTAACTTGGCATTTGTCACATCTGGGGAACAGCAGCCGGCATCAAGGACTGTGTGAGAAGGGAGGCAGAGACATCAATCAAAAGAAGTCAGCTCAGCCGCCCACATCCTTGGCTATGCCTCCACCTTTGCTGGGATAAAGAATGCTACCAATAGAAGCTCCTCTCTGCAAGAGATTCCCAAGCACCTGCTCAAAATGATACTTAATGGCCTTAGAAATTGGCTACTAAGGGAGCAAAAGAAAGAGAAGATGAATTAATTTTAAAATAGCAAAAGTTGATGTTATTTTTGAAAACAAATTTAGTAGAGTTTAAGGCTCTTCTTTGCAAAGTGGTTCCCTTTGAATTGCCTTCACACCTTTCACTGAAAATGTGTCTGGAACTCTTATTTGAAATGGCTCTCAAGGTGTGTGAGCTGTTCTTTAGAATATCCTTGGCAGGAGCAATCAATCATCTTTGGGGAATGGCTTTGAAAAGCCAGCCACATAGCCAGAAGTCCTTCAGAATCAGGCCAACTAGGAGAAAAAGAGGTCATTATTTTTTTGGTAAAAACTGGGAGTAATTATGTGGTGGTGAGCTCAGCGTTCTTGTGTGATTTGCAAATTCCCTCTGAAGGCATTTCAGAACATGATTGCAAACACTGACAGCATCTTCATTACAAGTGTGAAACAGTTCTCTGCGAATAAGATTCTCTGGACATCAACGTTTTGGTGTGTTTATTCTTAAAGCCTCATTGTTTTATAGGCTGCCCCCATATTTTGATTTGAAATGCAAGGGTTAACAACTTTCCTTATTCTTATTGTGAGTTCCATAAGAATTTTAAACTAAAAAAAAAAAATGGGTTCTACTCATGATTTGTTCTTTTTTTCTCTTCCTTTTTCTTTAAGGCAGGAAATACAGTATAATGAGTTGCATGGGTTTAATTCCATTTTAATGTTGATGTGCTGTCATGAGCCATCAGTGCTTTCCATCTGTTACTTTGCATGTAAGAGTTGGGATTTATATAACGTGAGTGCCATTTAAAAATAGAGATGGAAAGGAGAAAGGAAAGCATGCTCATTGACAGTCACTGTGGATGTGGGAAGGAACCCTGGTTTGAGTATATTCACATCACATTCACACAGCCTCAGAGGAAAGGGTTTGGAAAGGTGCAAGGCATCTCACTCCTTAGAGGACAGCCAACTGCTGATGCACATGTCCTGCAAAACCCCTGCCTGCCTTGTGCTCTGTTCCTTTTTTATCCTACACCATTTATCCCTCTTCTGATTCCCTAAGGCTACCTAAGTGAGTCATCTTGGTCAGCATAAAGGTCGTGAACCTGGCAAACCTGATTGTTAACTTAGTCCCATATATTCACTTTGCGACTGTGACACATTATTTAACTAGACGGTCCCTTGAAGAGTTGGTAGAATGATGGAGTTGACAATAAGCTTATTTTGGCACAACTTTTGAAAACCATGCATAGTTTTTCATGGCATATTTTTTTCATGCAGTTTTTGAAGACACTTTAAAGGCATGCTTTCAGAAACTTTGTGCAGCAAAATAAACTTGTCTATTAACTGAATTTTTGCATGGAGTTTTGTAGGATCTTTCTATTTTAGACTTCCGGTTTCCTTAAGAAAGAGAATAATAATATATCATCTGTAAGTATTAAGTTAAGCAAGTCTTTGCAAAATAGCTACTAGAAGGCTATGTCCCTACAAGATGAAGAGTGATTTATAGCTATGGTTATTTATAGCAACACTGGAAGACATATCCTTGCAAATGTGAAGACATTCTGAAATGTGATCCCAGATATCTGATGTGGTCCAGATACAGATGAAGGTGACAGTGTCTCTGTAACTTTAGAAGACACCACAGAAGAGCTTCAAAGAGTTACAGAAACCCCACTTCTTGTCATATGGAGTTAATGCAGCTACATATGGCTACAGGACTTAACAATTCTTGCAATTAGACTTAGACGAAGAGAAGAATGGGGAGAAGAGCTTAATAGAGCTGCTCCAAAACTGAGGAGGAATATTGTTTCCCAGCATTGTTGAAGCAGAAAAAAAAGCTGATGTTGTGGACAGTACCCTAACTGTAATGCTAGCAGCCTTGTCCTGCAGTGACAAAGCAGATTTACATTTATCACCCAGGTGTTGACATCTGTGCTTGGTAAAGATGAAAGAAATGGAATAAGAAATCATTTGTTATGTGTTTATGATCAGACATTATTATGAAGCCATCAAAAATGTGTTCAAGAATGTTTAATGATATGGCAAAAATTGAATTGTTGAGTAAAAAAATGTAGTATAAATTGGATATAAACTTTGAAAAGACTTAACTGAATTGCATCAATATATTAATAATCACTGTATGTAATGAGATTCTAGGTGAATTTGTGTTTTTTATTTATACTTTATCCGGAGTTGTCTTAAATGATTATGCATGTTCTTTATAATCAGTAGGATTAATAATAAAATATGAAGAGGAGTATGAAGTTGCAGTGCAGGAGCATGTAGCACGCAAAGGCAGATCCTGTGGGGCGGTGCAGATCTGAACATGCACACACAGGCGCTGCCTGAGAGAACGTGAAGGACTCAGCAGCGTGGCTTGTCTCTCCAGGTTTCCAGTGCTGCAGATGCACAGGCCCATTTGGAGAGCCGCACGTTCAACATCGCCATCTTACCACAGACACCAGAAGTGTCTCACCTCTCTCTGGGAACGTCTCTCCATATGACAGTGAGTTGGGAGGGAGGCTGCACTCTGCGCATGGATGGGATGTCCTCATTTGATCTGCAGTAAATGCTTTACCTAGAGCATAGTGTCAGGGCCAAGAACATCAATCCTGTTAACAGATTTCTTGTTGAGTTGGAAAAAACATGAAGTTGCTGGTGGGCAAAGAGTATGTGAACCCCATGTTAACTTTCCAGTTGTTAACAGTGCTCTGTCTACAGCATCCCAAGCAGCTACAATGCACTTGCTTCAGTACTGTAAGGCTACTTGAGGCCCCTGTAACCCACACCATTTAGGTTTAGCTGTTTAGCTGGTAGCAGCATCAGCTAACTGAGAAACTGTGGTTCCATGTTTTTAGAAGCCCTAGTAGGAGTTTCTTTTCCACTTTAAAAGCTTCCTAGAGAAGCTGATGCTATATTTAGAGAGAAAATAAAAAGTGGGATCAAGTTAGGAGGAAGGGATAAATGATGGCAAAAGGCATTGCTGTAGGCAAAAAGAGTATACAAAAGATTGGGAAGAGAGAGAGAACATGATCCTGCCAATAGGAGCGGCAGAGGGGGCATGAGAGCAGTGTGAGGGTCCTGGTGCTACATCACAGGCATTGTATGCAGTATGTGCAGGAGTATGGCACAGGGAAAGATCTGAAGAAAGATGACTACTAAATTAGCTCAAAAAGCTCAGCTCAGACAATTAGCAACTCCACCATAGTCCTATGTCTGGGATGGTAGGATGCCAGAACCCCTCTTCTAGACATAGCCACAAGCAGGCAAGACCTTGTAAATTAATTATTGCGGATCTGCATTTTAGTTAGTGCCCGCATAATTATACTCCGAAGTGGTGCATCAGCCTTGAGCCACAACAAAGAGAATAATGATAGTTTTAGAAATTATGGGTCTGGGGCATGACAGAGACATAAAGGGGAAAGTAGAAAGTTTTTAATGAATAGCTGGTATCGGCATTTCCACCATAAACCGTAATTTAAAGAAATCATAATTCAACAGCACTATAAAGTCTATAATTCATCATTCTGACTGGAGGAACTTGGATCAGAATTTTCTCTAAACTGTAAAGAAAAATGTGCATGCACATTTCTTGCCAAATGCTAATGCAGTGTTATTTTAAGTTGAGAGCGGGGAGAAATGGGCCTGGAGCCATGAAGATAGTGCCACCCCCTCTCTGCTTCATGGACTTCTGCAGACTGGCGTTTCAAGTTGCTTCACCTTTACAGCTTACATGCTTGCAAGTTAAGTTTAGCTAGTTCAAACTCAGGGTATCGCAAAGGCTAGTGTACTGTAAAATGTGATTGATTTGCCAACACATTACTTAAGCCATTTGCAGGTTGTGTTTCTTTTGGCACTAGTTAGGGCTGGTGCTATAGGATCTTCTTATAATCTATGACAAAAACACATTTTTCCATTTAGTGATTTGGATTCATGTCAGCACGCAAGTTTTAACACATCTAGTAAATATGTTATGAATACATTTGGAGATATGTGTACATACTTGTGTATGTGTGTGGATTGATTTATGTATTTAAAGGTAGTTTTCTATCATTCATCCACTTACTCAGTCGTTAAGTCACAAACACTTGACCACCTAATGTGTGCTGAGTGCTGGACAGGACATTGGAGATTCGTTGATCATAAAACAAAACACTTCCTGTATTCTGAAGGAACTTTGAGTGTAGAATAGGAGACAGGCCAATAAACGATGATAACACAATGGTATGGTAAGTGTGTGACAATCCCATGGCAATGCTATGGGAGCATGTGGGAGGGCACCTCATCTGGTAGGGTGTGCTACAGACCCGTACAGGCTTCCTCCATGTCTGGGCTTGTTGAGTATACATTAACTTGACATTAACTTTGAGTTCTTCCACTTAAACCTGCATGAGCATTATCTATGGAGTTTGTTAAAACAGCTTCCCTGAATCCAGCTCACCATTTGCTAATTCAATAGCCCTGATGTCTTAGGGCCAAGAATGTGCTTTTCTGACAAGGTCCTGGATGATGTCATCTGCTTCTACTTAGATCACCACACTTGAAAGCCATTGTTACATACTAAAAACTAGTGGGAAATTCATCCCTGGCAGGAAGAGCAGCAGGTGAAAAAGAGATGGAGGGACACCTGGAAGAATAGGATGTGTTCAAAGAATTACAGGAGGTTCAGTTGGCTGGAACATAAACTCCCAAGTGAAGTCCTGAAAGGTTTCTAAGATAAAATATTTTGCCCTTGGCCCAGCGTGGTAGCCTAATGGCTTAGTCCTTTTCTTGTACATGCTGGGATCCCATATGGGCATCCTAGTGGCCCTGCTTCCCATTCAGCTCCCTGCTTGTGGCCTGGGAAAGCAGTTGAGGATGGCCCAAAGGCTTGGAACCCTGGACTCACATGGGAGACCTGGAGGAGGCTCCTGGCTTCAGATGGACACAGCTCCATCCATTGTGGCTGCTTGGGGGGGTGGGCGCAGAATCTGCAGACAGAACATCTTCCTCTCTGCCTCCCTTCCTCCCTGTATGTCTGAATTTCCAATAAAATAAAACGTTTTGTCAAGAGGCCAGTAGCTTAGTGGGGATTTGAACTATTCATGGCAGAGAAGTGTTGAGATCAGATTTTTCACAAACAATTTAGGAAGATCTCTTTGGCTACAGGAGATAAAGAAGCTGTTGTGGTAATCTAGGAAAGTTAGTGACATAAACTGCATGCAATAACAAAAATGTAGGGAGGGATTTTTTTTTAAAACTGTTTAAATGTTGTTTATTTTGTGTTTGAAAGAGTGAGAGATAGGGAGAGACAGTCTTCCATTTGTTATTTCATTTGTCAAATCTGTGCTGCCCAAGTTGGGCAAGGCTAAAGCCAGGGGCTGGGAATTCAACGCAGGTTTCCAACATAGGTGGCATGGGCACAACTACTTGAGCCATCATCTTCCACTTTCCGGGATGCATATTAGCAGGAAGCTGGAATTGGAGGACGGTTGAAACTTGAACCAAGATGTGATTGTAAGAGATAACTCCCAAGGGGCATCTTTTTTTTTTTTATTGTTGCTTACATTGTATTATGTAGTACAGTTTTATAGGCGCTGGGGATTCCCCCCACCCCTCCCATACCCCTCCCCCCATGGTGGATTCCTCCACCTTGTTGCATAACCATAGTTCAAGTTCAGTTGAGATTCATTGCTTGCAAACACATGCCTAGCATAAAGTTCAGCGTCTTATTGTCCAAGGGGCATCTTAACCACTGCTACCAAACACCATCCCAACTTAGATCTGAAGGATTCAGTCTTATTCATTGTAGCGTTATTCACAATAGCCAGAGAACAGAAGCAGTGTAAATGTCCATTGACCAATAAATGGATAAATGAACATACACACACCCACGGGGGTGGGGTGAGATATTATTGAGTCCTAAAAGAGAAAGGAGGATCTATCGTAAGTTACTACCAGCATGAGTTCTGGGAGCATGCTAAGTGAAATAAGCCAGTCATGAAAGTACCAAGATTGCCCACTTACCTAAAGCATGTAAAGTAGTTGAATTTTTAGAAGAAAAAATAGATTGGAGTTTTCCAGAGGTAGAGTTGGGAATGGAAGAGGCAGAAAAGATTAGTTGTTTAAAAGATCTAGAATATTTTTTTTACAAGATGAAAATTTTTCTAGAGATCTGTCACACGGCAATATAATTAGTGCTAGTACCGGCCTCTTAAAAATGATGAAGATGGTGAGAGAAAGGAGAGCAGACGGATACATCTGGAGACAATGACCAATCAAATAAAGGAGACTGAGATACCCAGCTTTTTTATTTATTTATTCATTCATTTTATTTATTATTTGAAAGGTAGACAGAGAAACTGGCAGAAGTCTTCCATCCACTATTTCCTTCCTCAAATGATCACAACAGCTAGGGTGGACCAGAACTAAGTCAGTGGCCCAGAATTTCATCCAAGTCTCCCAAGAGGGTGGCAGGGAGCCAAGTGCTTTTGCCAACATCTGCTACCTTCCAGGTTTTATATTATCAGAAAGCTGAATTAGAATAATTAGCCTGAATTCAAACTAGATACTCGAACGTGGGGTGGTGTATCCCTGGTGACAACTTAAACCCTGTGCAAAATGCCTACACTCCCACCCAAGTTTCCTTTTTTAAATAATTTTAAATCAAAAGGCAGAGCTCTAACTCACTGTTTCATTGCTTAAATGCCTGCAATGAACAGTACTGGATAAGGCCAAATCCACAAGCCAGGTACTAATCTAGGTCTCCTAGGTGGATAGCAGAAACTCAATTACTTGAGCCATCACCTATTGCCTCCCAGGATCTTCAGGAGCAAGAAGTTGTAAATGGGAACCAGCCAGGTATTAAATCAAGGAGCTCTTACATGAGATATAGATTCCAACTGATGTCTTGATTGCTTGGCCCAGTATCTGCCCCCTGGCCCCAATTTCTGAGTATACAGAAGTGTCACTTAATGGGATCAGGAATACAAGGCTACTTCAAAAATTTGATGGAAAATGAAATTATAAGCTAAGTTTGTTTCATGCATAAAGGGGATTTCTAAAAAATTTATAGGAAATGCAAAAAAAGCACACCTGCATTACACAATGTTTTTGTATCAAAATAAACTTATCCCTTTGGAGGAAGATTTCAAGTGTGCTTTACCTCAACAATGCTGTGTTTTAATGGGTCCCCAGTGTTTTTATTTGGCATCATCCGTGTGTAGGTTTCGAAACGATTTCATCTTCTTCTGAGCTGGAATGCTAACCAAGCTTTCCTTTGTTTTGAGGCAACTCTGCCAGCAGCAGACAGGCTCCATTGCAGTCAGTGAGGCTATAGATATTCATACATCACATGGAATGTGGATTCACTTACACAGCAGTGCTGTATTTGTCATGAAAATCAGGTGTACATTTCTGGTGGCTCTATCTTGCCATTGCTTGTTGAATACCTTAATCTTAGAGATGACCTCATGTGAACTGGGCTAAGAGAAATGTCGTGAATCTGAAGCTAGAACTCTAACCATCCCAGCTGTGGATCCGGTGCAAGTTCTATCCAGAGACTGCAAAAGGATAGAGTGGTTTGCAGTTGGATCCTTAAAAAAAATACACATAGAGTGTAATTGCCCTTTTCTATGAATTTTATGAAGTCCCCATGGATACAGAAACTTGGAGAGGCATGATGAGTTCCGTATGGGTGGTGCTTACTAAGAATGTGCTGAAGTAGAATGAGTGACAGTGAGAAGTGACATAAATTCATAGATGTGATGACTGTCAGGCAATCCTGTGGAATCCTATACCACTTTGGGAGAATTAGCTTTTACCTGGAGAAAAAGAAGTCGTTACAGGAGGTTAAGCAGAGGTCTCATAGCCTACCTGAAGGAATTGTGCTGGCTGCTGAACTGAGTAGAAGGTAGGGGAGATGGGAGAGCAAGTGGATGATCCTTGGATCATTCACAGGAGATATTGCGCTCCCAGTAGGATGGCAGTGATGGAGGTGGGGAGACAATGCTACATTCTGGATGAGGTCAGAGATAACACACGCAATATGAAAACCTTTATTCTGTGACTTCTTTGGGTTAACATATAAGATTGATCTCACTTCTTTTTTTTAAGATTTATTATTTTATTGGAAAGGCAGATATACAGAGAGGAGGAGAGACAGAGAAAAAGATCTTCCATCCAATGGTTCACTCCCCAAGTAGTCACAATGGCTGGAGCTGAGCCAATCCGAAGCCAGCAGCAAGGAGCTTCTTCCAGGTCTCCCATGCGGGTGCAGATCCAAAGCTTCAGATCATTCTTGACTGTTTCCCCAGGCTACAGACAGGGAGCTGGATGGGAAGCGAGGCCACTGGAGTTAGAACTGGTACTCATGGGATCCCGGCACATTCAAGGCGAGGATTTTAACCACTACTCTGTTTTGCTGGGCCCTTAATCTCATTTCTTTGTTTAACTCTTGGACATCCCAAATAGCCAGTGTGAAAATTACTTATACCTGATTTAATGCTTGATACTGTTTTCATTGGAGAATCAAATTCTTTTCTCTAACTGGTGTCTGTTTCTATTAGTTAGAGAGATAGCTTCAATAAATTGCAAATTCTTTTATTTTAATGGGACATATATGCATTTCCATATTCCTGTGTCCATTGTAATTCTGTCTTCTGACAACGTTATTGTTTCAAGGACATCATAATTGTCTCATGGTGCTTGGAGAGTTTTTAGTGATTTTGATGGTTTTGAGATTAGAAGGTCGCCAGCAGAACCAAACACTGTGCTGGCCCTGTACTGCTTTGCCCATATATCCAGGATCACATGTGTGTGCACACATGGATGGGTTGTAAATGCCTGAGTGCATACATTTAAATTTGTTGCCTCATTTTATTGAGGGCGAGAGACCAGCTGCTCTTCATAATTCTCATTTTCCTTGCTCATTACATTCCAGACCTGAGTGTAGGCCTGAAATATGACTTGTTTCCAGAGAAGGATTGTCCTAACCTGCAAATGCTGCCTCTCCCTGGGACAAGTATGCCTTGGGGACAATTAACAGCAACTGCAACCTTCAATCTTTTTGTGGTTGAAGAGAAGAACACCACACCTTCTCCCACAAGCATGACTGCATGCTGCTTAATCCTTTTCTAAGTAGAGAAATTCCTCCTGGAAGAAACAATGGTTCAAAAAACAGGTCTACATGACTACTCTAACCCACCTTCAGGGGTCAGTTAGAAGTGCCCATTTCATGACATTATGCAAAATGTGGGCAAGAAGCCCATGCTCAGGATAGTTTCCCATCATCTGTTTCCTACATTGCTTTTGCTGCTGTCCCCAGCCTGCTGTCAACATTACCTACACATAGGAGTCTGAATCTTTTGTTTCTTCATGTGGCTTGTCAGTGACTTATGGGTATGAACAGGTGAATGGATGGTCAAAGTGGCCAGCTTGTTGGCTCTCTGATTAATGTTGCTTGACTCATTAATTGGGTCATGAAAAGCTAGAGGGCAAAAAAGCAATATCTACTTTTTTGCAACGGTAGCATGAGGATAAAGAGACATAGTGGCTATTTATATGTGCTTTAATAAGCAAATATTCTTAAACCTTTGAATACAAATATAAGCTTCCCTTGGTGTTTGAAGCGGGTTCATTTGTAACTCTTGGAAACCAAAGAGCGTTATAGATGCTGTAGGAAGGCATGAAGCCAGGGTTATACCTCTGCAGGAGCAGAATGAACTCTCTTAGCTAGGTCTTCATGACCCCTTGCTGAATTCTACCTTAGCTCTTTGAGTTATAGAGATGTGAGTCAGCTGTTGTGGGTATTGATGCCTCATTTTCAAACATGTTTTGCAGCAAGTTCCTCCTAGGATAAAGGGAATCTTGTTGGCAACCTCATGGCACTTGCCAACAGAAATCAAAGGCATGGTGCAGAGGAGAGTAAAGTAGGATTACAAGGACACCTGAAAAGGGCTCCATGCCCCCGACAGATTTCTGAGGCTGGGACAGATCTGCAAGGAAATACCCAGGGTCCCTTTTTTGAACTCTTGAGAAATGTTTGCTAATTGTAACTAGTTCTAAGCCTAGAGAGAATTTGGCTTTATTCTCTTAATATGACTTGTGTTGGCATCTTCATTTTGTTTTTAAGACTCTGTTTTCTTTCATCTTAAAATTTGTGTAGGCTCGGGAAGATGGCCTGACAGTCATTCAGCCTCATTCCCTCCCTTTTGTTAATTCCAACAAACCAAGTGGGAAGATTATATACAACATTACCATGCCTCTACAGCCAAATCAAGGTAAGACAAGCCACATATTGTCTCTCCAGTTCTTAATCAGTGTGAAAAATCCTAGAGTTTGCTTGTATACACAGAGTTACTTGCTGAGATTTTAAGGAGGAACAAAGAATCTTATTCCCTTGTAATTACCCTCTAGCTTATAGCCGATTAAAAGAGAATGAGGCTCTGTGGCCAGACAGAGCAGGGATGGGTATGTTAGCTTTGACATTGACAACTCCCCTGGATGGCATGGCGTATTTGGATTGTGCTCTGGCTACTCCCTGGCATGATCAAAGGGCACACAGCCTGCCCTGTTGAGGTTATTATGAGGAAGGAAAAGGCCATGATAATCATGTGTTCAACTCCTGATTTAATAAGTCACTCCTCTTTCTCCCAAAGAGAGCAGGACAATACAAAGTTCCAGGCCAAGGAAAGGTGGGTCCCAGCATCAGGCCCCAGCTACTCCATCTCTTCATGCCAGCCTTAACTAATAAACCTATATCCAGCAGAGGTGATGCTGGCCTTCATGTGAAGATCTACTTCCATGATGTTCTGCCTCACCAGACCAGCCACTGCCCCAGTTGTATAAAGCTTGCCCAGGATCAAATTCCCAAGGAAAAACCAAAGTCTAAGATATAAATTCTGCTATTCCACTCAACAAAGTCCAAGGAAACTAGGCATCTAAAAGTTGTCCTTTTTCAGTCCACCAGGCATGGGAAATCACGGTTTCTCCCCAGCTTGTCAAGCTAATGACACAGTTCTCTAAGGTCATCACCCTGATCTCTTCTGCTTTATGGTGTTATGATGTAGAGTTAGCTCAACACCAAGTGTCACTCGTGCCCTTCTGTTCAGAGAGTGAATAAGATGAGAAAAGTCACCATAGCATCAGTTGTGCACCTGCAGAATTTAAAAATGATGGATGATGCTACAGTCCCTGCAGCCTTTATCACAAACACAGTGATCATGATGAGGATAGCATAATCAGAATCCATGTTGCTATTATCAAACATGACCCCAGAGACTAGGGAATTTCTGAAGGGAAGAGGACAGGTGGAAAAAAAATTGCTTCACCGGAAGGCATGTCTATGCCAGGTTCTCAGGGACGTTAACCATCAATTGAAACTCACTTGAGAGAATCTCATAATTACCTTGAAAAAATGTGTTCTAAGCTACATTAGGGGCCAGTGTGAGCATCTTTCTGTGTTGTGTTCAGGGAATCCTAGTTGGACTCTCTATGACTTTCAGGTTTTTCTCTTTTCTTAACTAGCTGGAGAATAGTCTACCAAGAACAGGTTGAGAACAGTTGCTCCTAGAGGACCAAGAATAGCATACATCCCCTGCAGGAGACAGAAGTTGTTAGAGCTCTGGTGATGCTATGCCAGTCTCTTCTTCCACAGGAATCATCGAGCACAAGGACCAGCCCCAGGTTCCCATCCGATATTTTATGCAAGAAGATATTAACCAAGGCAAAATCATGTACCGTCCTCCCGCTGCAGCCCCACACCTACAGGAAATCATGGCCTTCTCCTTTGCTGGTAACACTCTCACCTCTATCTTGAGACACCCATACTGTTCTCTGAGGTTCTTCATGACAAGTGTCCTGTAACTTTTCCCCTGATGTTCTGGACAATTTGGTCACACTGCTCTGTAGCTCTTCTAAATAACTTGAGACCCTGTTGACTTATATGTAACATGATGTCAAGTATTGCAGCATGGGCTCAATCCTGTATTGTTCTTGTTTTTATTTATCCATGCATGGATAGAGGCACACTTTCAATCTGTCTTGGGTTTATGCTGTCTTTGTGCCAGTTATTGAGTGAGGTCTTAGTGATAAAGTGGCAAGCAAAAGGAGGCTTGGGGTCTGCTCTTGGCAAGTTCAGAGAGCTATGCAGAAGGACATTATATGATTAACAATCCCAGGAATAAAGAGGTTAGTTACAGACTTGAGTTAAGAGCTCTGGAAATGAGAATGAATGTTCAGTGATGGCCTTAAACCAAGCAAGACTGAGTGGAGCCTGCCCCAGAAAAGTACTGACAGTGAAGTAGAGAATGGAAGCTAACGAGGTCAAGTATACATCTCAGGATGATCAAAGGAGCATTCCTGAAGGAACTGCATGGGTTCCCCTGTGCAGAGGCCATGGGAAAGAAGAGTCGTGGTCTGCTGAGAGTTTAAAAACATCTGAGCATGCAGTTTTGTGGGTGAAGCAGAGGCCAGAGAAAGCCTTTAAAGATTTGTATTTTCATCCCAAGAACAAGCAGAGCCCAGTGGAGGGAGCTATGGAAGGTAGCTTTTCATACGGAATTCTGACTGCCATAATGTTAATGGCCTCGATGCATGGGTAGGGGAGTCTGATGAGGAAGGCCCTGGAGTATGGCAGGGAAGGTATCATGGAGAGATGGAGAATGCAGATGACCTTCTGGGATTATAACCAGGTTATGACAGAAGTCCACTTTGTAGAGCAAGAAAAGACCAACCAGAAAGAACATAAGCACAAGAGTTAAATTTATTGGAAAAACTTGAAAACCATGCAATTTTATTGTAAAATTCACTTTCAATGAATTTTTTCACATGTGAGATTTTAGTTATTTTTGCCTCAAAATAAACTTACTTAATTCCACTTTCCAGGGAATTTTTGAAGCATCTTTGCTTGTTTTTTTTTTCATATGCAAATATGGAAATTTCTTGTGGTAATTTGGACACAAGTTAAATAATTTAAAATTTCTTTTCTGATTTTAGTAAATGTGAGAAGTCATATTTGCCTTTTTTTAATACAAGGCCAATTGTCCAATAAATGGTTAACTTCCTAATTAAACTGAAAATTTCTAAGGGCAGGAATAGGCCCTTTCTCTAAGGAGTACCCCTAATGTGTAGCAACTGGGTTACTAATAGCCCATGAAAGTGTTCATGGTTCCCTAACCTCTACTTCACAAGACCTACTTTACAAGGAACTGGGGCTATCCTGGGATTACAGAGAAAGAAAACATGTCAGCCATTGCCGAAATCATTTGCTTGCAAATTGTACTCATCCTAGTTCCCTGAGCCTCTGTGGAGAAGGAGAGAATCCTATCGTGTTCATGCTATGAGATAAATGTCACAACATAAATCTCTCACACAGTAACAGTGTGTAAATCAATGTCTCGGGCATCACTCAAGTCTACAATGGGATTGAGCCACCTGAGAGCCCAGTCAGTGATGTACAGCATCACCTACATTCACCGATTTGTTGAGTTTTATGTACTGATAAAATGGGATCAAAGTCAATGTGTTATAAATCATTCCAACTGCTGTGATATAGAATCATTCCACTATGTGGTTCTTTTTGCCGCTTAAAATTAATGCCAGTGCCATTAAATTCAACATAACATTTGCAAATGATTTGATTATCTTTCCTTAAGCCAGAATAATTTAGAGTAAAATGCCCTTGATTTTTCTTACCACTGCCCCATATTTTGTATCTTTCCTATCTATGACTCTGAAATATTTAATATGCTGATTTTCTCTCTTGCTCTTTCAGATCTCCCAGAGTCAGTAAAATTTCATTTCACAGGTAAAGACTTTAATAGTAATCTTATTAGAAAATGGAATTTTCCTTTCCTTACTAGTTCTTTCTTTCACTCCATTTATCATTACTTTTAGTGAGTTTCTAAGAGCTACTGAAAACTTATTTCACTCTTCTTCTAACTCATTCACATGGTTAGACAATAATAGTGTAGTTTTATGTTCATAAAGAGCCTACCAAGGATGTCAGAGTAATATTAATTAATGGTGATGTTTAATTAATAGATTTCATTGTAACCTTTCCTAATATTTATTGAAAAAAAATGTAATAGTGGTCAAGATAGTAGACTCTAAATTGCTTCAAGTTCATTGCATTTTTGGAAGGCTTCTTAACTTACCATGCTTAAGTGCCTCCCTCATAAAAGAGGATGATAATATATTTGTCACATAGTCCAAACAGTGACCGATACATGATGTCCCAGAGTTATATTCAGCCAGTGAGTGGTGGTCGTCTATAGTCTCATTTATTGAACACCTTACTACTGGAGAGAAAAGTGTATGCTGGCACAGGAGTTGGGAAGCTTCCTGTGTCACCCCCAACATCCTAGCTGGAGTTCACATGCAGTAGAAACTCACTGTCTGTCAGCCAAAGCAGAGGTATGTGTGGTGTCTATGTGTGGCTGATGCAGAAACAAGCTTTCTTATTTGAGTTAAAATGAGGATGGTGGACCGTAAAAGCTTCATCCTCAAAGAGATGTTTAGATAGCATTGATTGTTCCAATATAATCAGTCCCCCAAGTGTCCTATATATATCATATGGGAAAAAAGTATTGGTGGGACACAAAATTACTTTCCTCAAACTCCCAGACCTTTTTTTCTACTTTGAGGATTAAAAAGCACACCTGAATGAATAATAAGTTTCAGAGTGGTTCCATTGCTAACCTGAGCCGTGTTTTGTTGTATTTATAATAAATAGTCCTCTATATGATTGACACAGTCAACAACAATAGATAATGGGCTCCTTACATTTTACAAAAAAAAAATATGCTAACTTAATCCTTATGGCAATATTGCAAGGACAGATACTATTGAAACTGGGGATACTGAAAGCACCCATAAAAATAAATTATCAGTCTGATGAGAAGGCATAGTAAGCTGATCCTCTAACAGCTGTGCTAGCAACCCATATGGGTGTTGATTCGTGTCCCAGCTGCTCCACTTCTGATCTTCATCTGAACAGCTCCTTTTGGATAATCAGCTCAGATGAGCAGGAACGCCACTGTGCCTGACTTGGCTGGCATGGGCACAAGCACAGCTGTTGTGCACAGTGGCTCTGTGCAAGGAACATGCACGAGGCCATGGTGCCCACAGAGGCCCTTGAACCCAAGGAGGTGGTTTGCTTCTCAGAGGAATCAGGATGTTGCTAAGAGAGAGTGCTGGACTTCTCACTGCTAATGTTTGTACTGTAAATGTTTGTTTGTGTACCACTTCAGTCAAGTGCTCTATTTTCTTGTTTTATAATGTACCAGAAAGGAGCTTGCTTCCACTTACTTATAGAGGCAAGGAAATGCCTTGGTTACCCTGAGCTGCTGTTGTGATAGCATCAAATTTTTAAAAATTAAGTGTCAGGGTCTTTTCTGTTCTTGTCAGTAAAGTAGGGATGTTGAGGGCCCAGCTACCATTGATTTAAAAATAAAGCCTGTGTAAAATAAAGTTGCATTTGGCATCTATTTTTATTTAACATTGTTTAAGAAACCCTTGAAATCCTAAATCCACTGAAATACAAAGAAAAAAATTGTCCACAGCCCCCAAAAGTTAAGAATAATTCATCCCTCTTTGATGAGCCAGAGAGGAAACTGAACATAAAGATGCAGCATGCTTGATTGAGCAGGTTACTCCTGTGAATCCTTCCTGCCCACAGGGGTGGTGTCCCTCCACCCTGGTAGTGCTGTCTCTGAACTTCTCTAGGTCATAGAGTGTAGGTTATAAAACCAAACCATCCCTTTTAGATCTGTCACCAGTAAAAGACAAATATAAACCCTGATTGGAACCATTCCCAGGAGTCTCTGAGCAAAGCTTGATTGCCTTAAGAAGAGATGAGATGTCTATTGACTTGTTATTAAGTCCAAAATAAAGGCAAGAAGGCACCCAATTTCACAGAACCAGCCCATAGGTGCGCCTCAGATATTTAACCTAAATAATGTAGCATTTTCAGTAGCCACCAAGGGCAAAAAGGATGATGAGCAGGTGGTGCAGTTATCTATCCAAATCTGGCTTTTAGAGGAAGTCAGGTGTGTCATGGCATGAGAAAGTAGGAGTACAAGCCATTTATAAGCATCTCTTCAAAATGTCAAGATCATCCAAAAAAGTTTCCAACTATATATTTGTTGAAACAGCATGAAGATGAGTAGATATGCATCATCTATATCTGTGAGTGCATACATATGTGCTTTTGCTTTCCAGTGTCTGATGGGGAACACACAAGTCCAGAGACGGTCTTCACCATTCACCTACTTCGCACCGATTGGCGGCCACCAGTCTTCCAGGTCACAGCTCCCCTGCTTCAGGTCAGCCCAGGAGGCAGTACTTTGCTAGGTAAGAACCTTGGGGCCTGAGACACACAGAGTTTTGGGAATGGGACCGTATTTGGGAAGTAATCCCTCTTCAAGTCTCTAAAACATTGGCAAGCTGCAGTGACAGTCTCTTCCCAAAGCCACACGCATTCCCACCCGTGTCCTCTTTGTGCCATGCCCATGCTCATAACAGCAGTAGAGAAAGGGGAATGAACCTTCCAGAAGCCAGCACTCAACAAAGGAACGCAACAATGAATTTATTTTCCAGCCCGCAGGAATTGATTTGTTGGCGTTACTAAAATATAAAGTAGCAGAGAGCTGAAAGGAGACTGTGGGGATGGGGCTTTGAGTGATTGCTCTTGTTTTCTATTCAGAAAGTTAAAAAGTAATAGGGGAAGTGACAGATGACAGCAATCTTCCAAAACTATGACGTGTTAGAGTTGGCCCAGCTGTTTTGTGCATGACTTTATTTGCTTATTAGTATACTTACTACTTCTCACTTTCGTGATGGCTACAGCAACCATCCTTAAATTTGGTTCCTCTGTAAATTCAGCAAAGAAATAAAAAGGATGGTTTAATGCAAATTATGGGGAGAGTTTTGGGGGAAGAAAATCAACCACAACCCCTAAGCATTAATATACCTATGGATATCTTTTACTCATGCCCCCACACATATGGGGAAAGGGAGGCTTAGCATTCAGAAACACATGTAAGTGAACTTTGAGAAAGACCTACTTGAAATTTGAGTTTTGACTAATGAGAATATTTCAAAAGGTTCATGGAGAGGTAAATTTAGAAATTTATTTTTGACACACATTCGTCTTTTTCATTAACATTCATTTCCAAGGTTTGTTTGCTTTTGCACCAGAAATGTACTTTCCTTTTAATCCATTTTCCATGAGCGTTTTGAGGGCTGATTGGGCCCTGCCGGTTTGCATTGTTAGTGCTTGATTGGAATGAACAGCCCCTTGCTTGTAATAGCTCACAGGTTCCTCAAGAATGGCTTCCAGCATGGCCTGTGATGTGAGTGGACACAGTCTCTAGTTGCCAGGGAGTCCATCACTCTCTCTCTGCTTTCCTCTCGATGCTGCAGGGCTTCGGCTAGTCATGGGGGCAGCTGACACGGCACCTGAAGAACTCTTCTTTGAGCTTCGGAGGCCTCCTGAGCATGGTGTACTCCTGAAGCATACCACCGAGTTCCAGGGGCCCCTGGCCACAGGTAACTGCACCCTTGGGCCCAGGCTTGCTTCTGTGTTTCTCAGACAAGAAGTGAAGTGTTTTGGTGACTAAGCCATGAGCAGATACTTCATTTTGTGTTGATTTCACTGGCCTAGATGCTTATTTAAGATCTTCTTCACTGCCTGTTCTTATCTTCCAAGCCCTTCCTACCTACATCCACACCTTCCTACCCACATCCACACCTTCCTACCCACATCCACACCTTCCTACCGACATCCACACCTTAACAATTGTGAAACTCTTGCCTCAAGTTGTAAGTGGAATTGGTTGCCTTCCTTCCACAACTTGGAGTAAATGCATTGAAAATACAATATTAGGTGTCAGCTGCCTCTTTCTGTTCATTTGTTCTTGGAGATGAATTTGTCAGTCTAAATTTGAAAGATGAGTGTTACAAGAATTTTTAGCATAGTGACTCTGATAGCAGTACTTACATGTGTCTTTGGTAACAAAAAACCGAGTACATTTCTGAAGTATTATCTAAGCAGTGTCACAGTGTGGTGATGTGACAATGTGACAGGTTTTCCAAAATGATAGTTATTGTGCTGTTTCTGATTAGTTACCAAAAAAAAAAAAAAAGCATGTGGATTGTTCCAGAAGCTCAGGAAAGCACGAAGAACACAACTCAAGCTAACTTGTTAATAGAGCATGTACTGCAGTCCCCCCAGAATGCTGTGTCTTCATCTGAGAGTCTGTCTTTCCCAGAGCCTTTCTAAGATTCCTGTCAGAGACTGAGTAATGCGTTCTTTCAGAGCATCCCTGTTGGGGCAAATTTTTGCCCTTGAAGGAGATTGAATTTTTTACAACTCATGGGCATTTAGGAGTCACAAAGTCAGACTGTACAAAATGTACTGAGCCAAAGAAGTGCCATTAGAATAGATTTATGGTAACCCAAGGGAACCACATTAGGTGCAGAACACTCCTGCAAAATTTCTTTAGCATTACAGTTAGTCTATATTTGTATAATTAATATATAAGATATAAAGATGATTATCTTTTTCAGGCTTCATAGTACTACCAAAAGTAGAACACAGTGGCACAGCGTTCAGAGAGAAAATTGAGGATGATTGTGGAGAACAAGTTCATTCTTTCAGCTCATCACATAACCCTGATGACTAGAGTCTACAGTTTATTGGAAAATGGAGCTGAATACAACATCCAGGAAGACCCATTTCTCAACTATGTTTTGTACCATCTTTAGAGTCCATGGTACCAAGAGGCTTTTCTCATAAGAAGAGTTCCATGACTCAACAAATTTAAGGTTTCATATTTGTATGTTAAGGATTCTAAAACTTTAATAAGTCCTACAGTTTAAAACTTTCAATTTAAATTTACCTTAATCTCATTTTTTCCAAACTTATGTTAAACCTGAAACTTCTTTTACACAATACCTTTCTAATTGATTATGAATTGCCATCTAAACTATGAAGTCTGGCTTTTGAATTTCAAGTATTTTTTCAAATTTTAATTTTGGAAAAAGCTTTGAATTCCTCTTTCTGACAAGGTCATCAGATATAAGTTTTTTTTTTAATCAGTATCAAGATTCAATTCTAGGGGGCCAGAGTTGTGGCATGACAGGATAAGCCAACACTTTGGATGTCATATCCCAACGTGGAGGGCCAGTTCGAGTCCCAGCAGCTCTGCTTCTGATCCAGCTCCCTGCTAAATGCACTCAGGAAGGCAGCAGAGGATCATCCTGCCACTTACATGAGAGACCCGGATGGAGTTTGGGGTTTCTAATATCAGTCTGCCCAAACCCCAGTTGTTACAATCATTTGGGGGAGTAAATCAGCAAATGGAAGATCTCTTTCTGTTTTTCTCTGTTACTTTTCCTTTCAAATTAATAAACAAAAAAGGTTAGATCCCAAAAAGGCTATACAAGAGCTACCATAAAGAATAGAAGCTGTTTAATTTTTTCCAGAGATGAAAGTAAAGAAAGGGTTGTTATAGAGATGTATTTTAGCTCAATATGGATAAGAACTTTAAACAAGATTAGAACTATCTTGGGGACCCAGCAGTACAATGTCTCAATTGACTAATCTTCTGACTTGCAAGTACCAAGATCCCTTATGGTCTCTGGTTTGTGTCCTGGCCGCTCCACTTCCTATCCAGCCTCTTGTGTGTGGCCTGGGAAAGCAGTGAAGAATGGCCTAAAGTCTTAGAGCCCTGCACCTGCCTGGGAGACTTGGCAGAAGCTCCTGGCTCCTGATTGGCTTAGCTCTGCCCATTGCAGCCATTTGGGGAGTGAATCAGTGGATGGAAGAAGTCTCTTCTTCTCTCCATAAATCTGACCTGCCTTTCCAATATAAATAAATAAATCTTCAGGACTTGCTTGGGAGGAGTGAACTGACTTGTTAAACAGTGAGCTTCTTGCCTTGTGAAGTGCTGAAGATGAGGCAAACTCTAGAGTGACATCAAGAGAAACCTATACTGGTAGATCATTAGACTAATGAGCTTCTTATTTCATTGTGTATGATTCTATATATACCTTAAAATCCTGTAAACAAAGATGCTATATAAGCAAAAAGTATTATTCCCAGAAGTAATCGGTTTTGTGATTTGTTTTGTTCTTGAAAGGTGACACTTTCACACAAGAGGACGTGGAGAAAAATGCTCTGTGGTATGTGCACGATGGTTCCTCTGCCCAGGGAGACAGAATGGAGATCTCAGTCACAGATGGCCTCACAGGCATGGCATTGGAAGTGAGAGTGGAGGTGTCACAACCCAAGGCCCAAGGGCCTCGGCTGGCTGCTGCTTCCTCTCTTAGCATCACGGTTGTTAACAAAAGAACAGCTGTGATCACCAGGGCACACCTTGCTTATGTGGTAAGCTCAGACACCTGCTTGTCCTGTCCTTTACTGCGCCTTGTAGTCAGGCTAGGTAGGGAAAACTCGTGGTGGCAGACAGATGGCCATGTTTCCCCATCTTCCCTACCCTTTTGCTTTTATGGGCAGTCGTGTTGGTTATGCTAGCTTTTCCCAGTATCTCAGGAGCCCAGAAGTGAATGAATGCAATGTGCTGGAACACGATTAGTGTTTGTAGGGGTGGGTATTTGTGAACCAGAATCAAGTCCCATATCCATTCTCTATGTGCCATTCGTAATATTTCCAACAGATCTTTTGGAAAAAGAGCACTCTGGGAAAATATGCTGGTCAATGAGCAATGGATCAATGCGTCTTGTAACCGCTTAAGAGAAGCCTGGCTTTTCATCAGCTCTTGTCTCAGGTTCACTCCAGACAGAGCACTAGCTCCCCCTTCAGCTTTGCTCTCCCTTGATTGTTGGCGCCTCCTGTCATTCATGCCCCAAGGGAAGCAGTATGGCCAGGGACTTCCCAGGGAACTCGGAGGAGACTGTCAGACTCTGGGATCTGTCCTCCCATTGGGCTCTGCCTTGATAAGTGATCTGGGGTGGTTAAATTCATCTTTCTTTGATTCTACTTCTGAAGTTAAGGATAATGAGAATAATTATTTTGCTATTATCTATGTTGTAAACAGATATGTGTTATGTAAGTGAAATAATGAATGCCCTTTTTTAAGATAATACCTTGAAAGGATAAATGATCATACTTAGTTTGGTTTTTTCTTAGTAACATTAAAATTTCAACCAATCACCATGACTTTAAACAAAAAACACTATATAGTTTTATTTTTTGAAGATTTGTTTATTTTTATTGCAAAGTCAGATATACAGAGAGGAGGAAAGACAGAGAGGAAGATCTTCCGTCCAATGATTCACTACCCAAGTGAGCGCAACGGCCAGTGCTGTGCTGATCTGAAGCCAGGAGCCAGGAACTTCTTCCAGGTCTCCCACATGGGTGCAGAGTCCCAAGGCTTTAGACCGTCCCCCACTGCTTTCCCAGACAACAAGCAGGGAGCTGGATGGGAAGCGGAGCTGCCGGGATTAGAACCAGCACCCATATAGGATCCTGGCACATTCAAGGTGAGGACTTTAGCTGCTAGGCCACGCTGTCAGATCCAGCCACTATATAGTTTTAAGTAAACTTTAACTAGCCTGAAGTGTATTACTATAAAATCTAGTCCTGAGCGCAGGTATATAATATAAAACATTGCCTGTGAGCAACAACTATTCTTGCACAGCTTTTCTCCTTGAATTGTCTTTTCTCAAATTATGGGAAACTGTTCCACCTTGATTTTCTCCTGAGTCTACTAGAGCTTCAGAACAGCTTTAATTTTTTTTTAATTGACATATGATTTTACCATAGCTTCTATTCTTTTCAATCTTATGAAACTCACAAATTCATAAAAATGTATGAATTCAGACTTAATCAATAGATAACCAAGGCTTGAAAAATGTTTGACAGACCAAAATAGAACTCCAGGAGCAGTTCCTAACCATTAACTGCATATTATAAGCTGCATATCAAAATGTAAGCCCATTGGCGACTGAACATGTATTTCAGAAATTGATTGAATGTGAATCTATCCACCAGAGCAGAAAAACTCCAAAAGAACTATTTAGCCCACTAACAGCATAGCAGATATTTTAAAGACTTAGCTATTTTGTGTACTTTCTCTGAGAGTTGTAGAATTTCACACTTATTTTCACAGGAATCTTTTTTTCAGAGATATGTAGTTTATAAGTTTTCAGCGAACATTTAGGGACATTTGGAAATTGATTTGCATTCTGAATCTCACATAGGATAGGGTGCAGAAACCAGCATGTGCCTGGTCTGAATTAGTATCTTTAAGGGGAAGAGACAAAAGGCAAGAATGAGATTCTGCATACTTTGTTTCTTAACAGTATTATAGACACACAGTTTGCACTGCAGGTGAACATCTGGGGGTGAGGGTAACGGGCGGGAGGGGAGGAGTATGGAGCGAGAGTGCTGGAGGTTAGGATGGATGTGCTTTCACCCAGCCTCACCACTTACCACCACACTACCAAGTCATTTCAACTCTCTAGGTTTCAGGTGTTTGCACTTTAATATTGGAGGAAGGAGTAATATAATTCATTTTTTAAAGTTCACAGTGTTTCCATGAGCCAACCAAAAAGAAAATAATTCAAAATATGATACCACTTACCACAGTATTATATATCACGTAACTAGGAATGAATGTAAGGAAGGTAAGGGCTTTTACCGTTTTATAACTGCTGTAGGAGAGGAAATGAATCCACAGGAGAGTCTCAACTTGGTCAAGCATGTTGGGAAAGAAATCGGCATTGTTCTCAGGGTGAATAGATATGTGCCCCAACCATTCTATTGCTAGACTTCTATGAGAAACTTGTACATATACTATAAGAACAGGTATAAAAATGTTTACCACAATAGTATTTATAATAATGAAAATATTGAACAAGCCAGGTGGCTGTCAACAGAATAAGAGAGAACCTGTGCTGCAATAATTACTCCAGAATATTGGAGTCTCCTTGCGGTTAAATTACAGGCACAAATAGTAATAGAAATAGATCTTCACAACTGGCTGTTGAATAAAAAGAAAAATAGATCCCTGAAGTCTAATTTTACTTTTGTAAGTTTACTTTAAAAAAGTAAAAATATGCTCTGTAGTATTAGATTACATTAAGAGATTCAATGATGTAACAAGCAAGATTTATGGCAATGGCCCTACTAGGGACAGCATGAAGGAAGAGCACATTAATAAAGCATTTATTATCATCAAAATTCCTGCCCTGTGTTGAAGGGTGAATTCATGGCACAGATGTATGCATGGTTCAAGGAAAATAAAAGCATGAACTAATACCAAATGGGTAAGAAAGTTAGTAAGGTGCCACTTCTTAGGTATTTTCTATGTCCTCAGTATCTTGAAGATCCTAAAATAGCAATTTTTTTTAAATTATGACAGGGCCTTTTTGTATGAACAGATGTCTAGTCCACCTTTTTAAACCCTGCAGTCATTTGAGATCTAAAAGAAAATAGAATTGCTTGACATGAGATCAGCACTTATTTAACAAGTTTGATATCATGGAATTAAACCCCTGTTTTTGTTCAACTGGAGCCAAAAGCTCTGTCCCTGTGATGCATCTGCTCCCGGAAGACAATACCATCAAACTCAGATGGCTGCCTCAGAGGGAACTCACAGCTATACTGGGAAATACTCTGTTGGAAGCCTGCATGCTATATTTGGTGACTCATGTGGAGAAATAGAAAAAACTTTAAAGGAATATGCGTTTAGGGGGAATGTTCTGAAGTTTTGCAGCTTCAATAACTCCCAGCTCCATGTCTTGCTAGCGTCAAATGAAGTGAGGAAATTCTGTGATCTTGCATGGGGACTCTACAAGCATAAAAAGACCCCTGAGCATCATGGGATCAGATGGAAAACCCACTCTTGCTAGCCCACTTCCAGGCATTCCGGACTTTTACCTCATCTGACTTGTGTGCTATAGCCATGAAAGTCTATATTGTATCATATTGTAGCCATGCAATATCTATGTTCTTTGTTGTAGTGGTAAAATGTAGAGTACCAGATTGTCACAATCAGGTGCTCTGCAAGATGAACAACTCAGGGGAACTTTCCCAGACCGTATCAACCTTCTAGATATTTCCAAAAATATTTTTCAAGGCAATTGTCCATTAATATGTTCAGTGGCCACAAAGAAAGCATGTTTTATTTCTCAGCAAAAGCCATAAGAGGAAACTCCTGTATAGATTCAGTCCTGATAGAACAAAATCCCCAAGACTTCATAAATTCTTTTGTAAATTCCACATTTGATCATGTTGAGCATTATTTGAAGCGAGTCATTGACTAGTGAAATGATTTCTGTTTCACAAATTGTTTGCCATTGTGTAGCATATTATGTGTTCCCACGGATCCTTGTTTGTTTCTGAAAAACAGAACAGATTCAAACTCTAGAATACTGTCCTGTATGTGGATAACTTTCAGTTTATGGTGTTTTTCACTTAAATATTTGGTAAAAACACAAAACCACAGAAGCATGTATTGCACAATTGGTCATCTCTTTGCCTTATGCCCCATATCTGAAGGGCATATCCCCACTGCTATCTTTAGCTAGTATTGGAAGAAAATATTATCAAACAGGTATTTTAAATGGAAAATACTGGCATTTCGTGTGACCTAAAATGGTATTGCTTTATGGCAAAAGAGAAAGGGACTTTCTTTTCATGGAGAAGGAAACACCTGTGAATTGTGGTCCTAGAAGTATTTATTCCTAAAAATGTGCTTTCTGATCTTCACTCTTATTTGCCTTACTAGGATGATTCTTCCCCTGATTCAAAGATCTGGATTCAGTTACATTCTCTGCCCATGTATGGCACACTCTTAAAAACCTCAGGCTCTGAGGTGGAAGAGCTCTCAGGGGTCTCGAACTTCACAATGGAAGACATCAACCACAAGAACATCAGGTACATAACCACTTGATGTTGTCTGACAGAATTTTACAAAATTGTATTAACTTCATTTTAAACAAGTGGTTGCATCTGCTTGAGACCCTGTATTGTTTCTGGCCTCATTGTTACACAAAGCTGTGGTCATGATTCCTTTGCTTCTTCTTTTGACCTTCAAAGGTACTCTGCTGTATTTGAGATGAATGATCATCTGGTTACTGACCGCTTCCATTTCTCTGTGTTGGATTCGGACCACAACCGCCTGGACAATCAGATGTTTACCATCATGATCACTCCTGCTGAGACTCCGCCTCCAGTCATTGCTTTTGCTGACCTGATCACGGTAAAACAATCCACAGATCCACAGACATGAAGTGCTATGGAAAGCTGGGCTCTGCGGTTACGTCAATGAAGGGCTTTCTGCCTGTCTTGGCTACCAAGTCCTTCCTCCAAGACATCTGGGCCATGATGTCAAACTATATAGGGTTTCCAGTTACAGACTTTTCAAAAAATATAAAAATGGTTAGATGCAGATATCAAATTTGTAGATCCACATTATCTAGTCAATAAATACGTACATATTAGACACTATGCTAGGTGTTGTTAGTAAATATTTCTTTTATAATCTAAGAGGCAGGGAGCTGGCCTTGCAGCATAGAGAAGTAACAGGCCACCTGCGGTGCTGGCATCCATAATGAAACACTTCTTCAAGTCCCTGCTGCTTCACTTTTGATCTACTTCCCTACAAATGTAGAAGATCAGTGCAGGGTGCTCCAAATATTAGGGTCCTGCCACCCATGCAGGAAACCCAAATGGGGTTCCTGGCTCCTAGCTTCAGCCTGGACCAGTGCTAGCCATTGTGGTCATCTGGGGAGTGAGCCAGTGGATAGAAGATATCGCTACCTCTCACCCCCATTACTCTCACCTTCAAATAAATAATTAAATCCTTTAAAAAAAATAGATCATGTGAGAAATAGAGAGGGAAATAGAGAACTCCCATTTGCTGATTTACCCCCCAAATGCCTGCAGTAGGCCCCAGCTAGGGTTGAAGTCAGAAGCCATGAACTCAGTCAAGTCTCCCAAGTGCGTTTCAGGGACCCAATCACCTGCTGCCCCCCAGGGTCTCCACTAGCATAAAGCTGGAGTAGGGAAGGAACCTTATGTTGAACCCAGGGTGCAAATATGGGGTTAGAATTTCTCTTGCCAGAGTAACTAAACTATGGACATTGCCCTCCAAAATCAAATCAATACTTAATCTACCATTTTAAACAGCGTTGATGGGATATTGGGAGGACAGGGTGATAATACAGTATATCTTGATCAGTGAAGTTGCTCAGGCATGAGTTGAAGTGCCAGTTTTGTTACATATTAGTTGGCTAACTTTGGACCCAGAATTTAATCTTTATACCTTCAAAATGCTACTCTTCCTACTACGTGAAGGATTTCTTTGAGAGTTCATAGCATAGCATGAAACCTCTAGCACAGTACTCAGTGCATGATATGGATTCCATAAAAGTTCATTCGTTTCTGTCTTCCTGTTGCACATGCACCCCCGAATGATAAAAGTCCAGGCATTTTTCAGGCTTTGACAAGCTGCTGAATATTCATACAACTCAGTTGTTTCTAAACAGCTCCAACAGGCTTGCCATGCTTTCTATTCCCATGTCTTGTAAAAACCACTTGTTCCTGTCCCCATTCCCTGACTCAGGGTGACTTTCTACTTATCATTTACACAGATCTTTCTACAGTGAACCAATAGTTGTCCCAAGAGAAATGACTTGACTGTTTCCAGCAGGTCAGTGATAAGCACCAGGCTCAGCTTGCAGAGTTAGTGTACAAATCTGAGCCCTCAAGAAGAAAGGTAGCTTGAGCAACTACCTCCACTTAGATAGATTTATATTCCTCCTCAGTGTTAAGATGAGCGCTAGCTCTCAGGTGCTGTAAACCCTTTCTTTCTATGCACTATACATAAACAGTGTAAAGGAGAACATGAGACTTTAATTCTGGATAGTAAAGCCTGTGGGACAGTCACCCTGACAGTGTCCACAGGAAGTCTGCGTCAATCATTCTCTAGCTGTGGGCCTTTGAATGCTCCTGTCATCCCAGCATGCACCTGCACCAAGGTAGCTGATAGGAATGGGCCAGATCTGCTTTATAACCAGATCCATCACTGAACTAAGCACAGCTTTGAAGGGAGATGCAAAAGTCATCATGTCTGAGTGGAGCTTGGGGATGTGTTGAAAGATTGCTGGTCCTTGGCAGTGCACATATTTGTCATCTTGTCCATGGAGAATCTGCCTTCATGGAGAAGCAGAATTGGTGCTAGAAGGTCATCAACGTGGTACTTTGCAACTCAGGTCTGTTTTACTGCAGTTCTGTATAATCGTCTGAAGACTCCCTGTATTCTTTTCTCTCCTAGGTTGAAGAAGGGGGGAGAGCCCCACTCTCATTTCACCATTTCTTTGCCACTGATGACCACGACAACCTCCAGGAGGATGCTGTCATTAAACTAAGTGCCCTGCCCAAATATGGCTGCATTGAGAACACAGGAACAGGTACCAGTTGCCATGTGACCTTTCTTTGGATCGGGAGCAGGGGAGGAAGAGGCAAGGAGCTGGTTAGGTCTTTGGGTCTGATGAGACCTGGACATGAGAAGTCAAAGAGAAAGGGAACTATTTCAAAGAAATGGAAGGTAGGAAAGGAGGAGGGTAGAAGGGTTTTATTCATTTAACTAAATGCATCCAACATTTTCTGTGTATTGAATACTTCTTAAAACACTAGGGATCTAGAAGTATCAAAACAGACAAAACCCTATAGTTTTATGATTTCTCAGCTCATGGTTTGAGGAGTGGGAGGCTCATGAATAAAACAACCAGTGCTGGGAGAAATGTTGAAGATGCTAGAACATGAATAAACACTATGGAAATAAATTGAGCAAGATAGAGGGATTAGAGAAGTCAGCATTGGAGGTAGATGGGCAGGTGGATTGCAGAACTGTTAAGGAAATCAAAATTCCTGTCCTATTGAGAGGCAGCCACAGTTTATTTGAACCACAACTTCTGCCTGAGCCCCTTCCGCAGATCTAACGTGAGTCAAAATGCCTGTTTCTCTTTCCACACCCCTCATCCTCCTTGGGGACCCATTGATGGGTGTCACTGGCAGGAGAGGCAAGCAGTCATGGATGGTCTCCAGCCCCCTAACACCTGCTGTGAGTGACAGTTGAGACAGCTCTTGGCAGGTCCCTGCCCTGTCCCTCTGCAGTGAGATTCCCTGAGCACTAGCAGATGGCTCTAATTGACATGCAGCTAGCAGCTGCCTCACCATGGACTGCAGGTGTCTGGCCAGCATGCTGCCTGGAAATTGCACTTGATTACCGGAAACTCACTCAGTGGTGGTCATGTTCTCCTGCAGTAAAACCCTGAGTCTTCCCTATCGTGTTTTCAGCATGTGCTCGGATTTGTTTCAACAAACACCTGTGTGTGATCCAGAGGCTAGAAAGATGAATAAGACACAAAATTTACCTCATGTAAATAGAGAGGGAAAAATAGAGAAATCACAATAAGTGACAAATGCCAGGTCAGAGAAAGAAGTTGAATACTGCTCGCGTTCATCAAATAAAGCAATTACTTTTGACTAGGAAGGCAAAAAAAGTCTGAGGAAGTGACTTTGGAGGCAGAGCCTGAAGGGTTAGTGAGAGTTGTTGTGGACAGAGGGGAGGGTATGAGCAAGGTAGCAAATACTGAAGGAGTGTTTGCCCTCCAGGTCATGTCTTCTCCATGTGTGGCCTCTTTCTTATTAAGCCTCTGTAACCTATTTCACATTAATGTGCATGTACACCCCACAGAAAAGTGTCCCACTGCCCCAAAAGTTGGCTGTCTAGCAAACTTCAGCTTCCTTGAAAAAGAGTTCTCAAACATCATGTGTGGAGCTTGAGAAAGCAGTTACCTGGGCGGCAGCCCAAGGGATCCTGTGGGGGCGGGCATTGTCTAGGAATTTGTATTTCTCACCAGCTTGCCTTTGCCACTGCCGCTGTCCCACAGGCCACGTTCAATAACATTGGTATAAACCTAGAAGAAAGTAAAAGGCATTAGGTTCAGGGTTCAGAGTAACTGTGCTAAGGTTCATGAGCCTCAGATCCACCCTTTTCTCCAAGGGAGATACCCCTTTGCTTCTGTTTAGAGTTGAGTCCGCTTTATATTAATGAGACCAGCTGTCTATGCTCGAAGTCCAGCCAATCAGAAGAACATCTTAAATGTGGTTCAGATAGATGGTACTTTTGTGTCATGCCAACAAAAGAGATGAAATAGACTGATGCATTTTCAAGTAGACAATCTGATGATGTGGAATCTACATTCATGTAGGCACAAGTAGGACAGGACCCACCTCGTCACCTCTAATGGCAAGTCTGCATCCTAGCCCTAATGATATTAAATTTGTACACAGGCCCTTCTGCTTAAGAAGGAGAGTAAGCACGCCAATAGGAATTATTTACATTTAAAAATAGAAGGTACAGTTTTTAAAAACTGGCAGAATGTGGTGCCTACAGCTTCGGTGTCAGATTGATTTGTTGAATAACTTGTGTTCCAGTGATTGAATTGTGATTATACACGTGCCTATTTTTAGGCATCATTTACGTAGGCTCTTTTTGACTCAGATAAGTCCCATTTCCCCTATCGGCAGCGATCCGTGGAAGGAAAATGTAAACACCGAAAGGAATTTTAGCAGCTCCTTCTGAAAACACCAATCCTATGTCCAAGGGATGATTGGGTCCCTGGCCCGCTTAGCTCTCTCTACACTTCTGATATCCAGAGAAACCAAGTCTGAGTAGTAAAGAAAATTCATGTCACTGAAGAAAAACATGGATTTTAAACTCTTCTTTCTAATAAATTGCTAAGAAAACACTCTCATTCTTCATCTTTCTGTTGAGATGTCAACAAATATGCCACTATTTACAGCTCAGGAAAAGAATGGTCTTTTTAATTTATGATCTGCTCTTTGCAAAGGATCATAGAGAAGGGAGAGCTTGTATTCAGATCAGCTAGCTCTACCTTCCTTTACTGATACACACCCAGGAAATGGTAGACACAGAGGTCTCCTTTTATCTGCTATCCCTAGGAGAAAATTGTGGTAACAATTTAACATCCATCAATTAGACAGACTCAGGTTGAAATCAAATAAGAGCTAAAACATCTGTTGTGTAGACACTGATGATTCCTGCCATGGGCTTTTTGCTGTGTTTGGGATTGGGGTAAGAAGAGTGCAGTGGATACAGCACTTTCTGTGGAGCTTTAAATGGCAGCTGGTATGTCAGCAGCTGGAAGCCACCTGCACACTGAATGGTACTCAAACATCACATAGTTTTGGTGTACTGCCTCCCAGGCTGGGCTCTGAGCCCTCACTAAGGTTTGCTTAAGGCACTGAGAGATAAAATGAAAACATCCTGGAGGAAATGAATCCTGGATAAAAAGTATACAGTTCACCTTTTGTTATGGAAAGAAAGAATGTTATTCTTTCAGGATAGTCCCCAAAGAGTGTCTTTGAAATTGACTGGAACTTAAGGTAGAATCTTTGCTGCTTATATTCTTACTTGCCCCAAGATGTATGACATCAAAAGATTCTGCTCCAAAAAAGCACTGAGCCTGAGCCTATGTGTTGGCAAATAAGAACACTCTGAATGCTCTCCTGATATTGTATCGTTTGATTCTCTGTGGTGACAGCTCCATAGATACAGACATCCACTTAAAGATGAAAAATAAGCCGTGCAGAAACTTAGATCTGACTCACAGTCTCTCAATTTCTGGTTTTGCACTTTGCCCATTCTCCCAGGTGTATCCTTAAGCACAATAGGTTCGTCTCTTTGAGAATGCTTTATTTTCTGGTTGCATCTTAGTGAGAAAGGGCTAGTGGATTGGGGTCAAAGATCTCTCTTGATTTCCATGCAGGTGATCGTTTTGGCCCAGAAACTACCAGCAACCTGGAGGCATCATTCCCTATCCAAGATGTCTTAGAGAACTCCATTTACTATTTCCAGAGTGTGCATGAAAGCATTGAGCCAACCCATGACATTTTCAGTTTTTATGTGAGTGATGGAACAAGTCGCTCAGAAATTCACAGCATCAACATCACCATTGAGGTAAAGACTTTGACAGTTGGGCAAGTGGAGCATGTGGCCACAGAATCCTAACGTTAGAGAACATTCTTTGTGCAGACTCCAGAATGAAGAAGATTGGATATGACCTTCTATTTTAAAGATCAGTTTTAAAATATAACCCTGACCTTCAGAAAACTTGTAGAGTTAAGGCTGGCATTTTGGGAAAGGTCCGAGTTGGAAATCTGAATTTCCATTTCAGGGTAAAATGTATCCTTTCTGCATGAAAAAGATCAGAGAGCCAGAGAAGCTTTGCCCAACACATCTTGAGATCAAAATTAGCATGCCTGTTTTTCTCCGCAATGACTGTGTTTGGTTCTCTCTGCATACTTGCCTTTTCTTATAGTTCCGATGCATTTATTAAGTTAATTGTAACATCAAAGAAATGGATTTCTTTATGTTGTATCTATTCTCACTTGAGCAAAAACATAGGCTTGCTCTATTATGCCAGAGAGAAAGAGAAACAAAAGATCAATCTGGAAATGGAATACCTCTACCTTGGGAAAATAAGACATCTGGAAATTTGAGCGCTCTGCAGGCACAATGGAGAACCAGGACTGGCACAAGGGCAGGGGTAGTTTAGAAGCCCCCGCTTTCAGACACGGTAACCTCTTCGAGGTGCTGAGATAGACAGTCTCAGTGTGCTCTTTGATCTCCCAGTTACTTGTATTTGTCAAGTTATCACATGTTCATATTTGTAGTGTAGAGATTATGGTCACTATACTTAGAGAGATCTCCTGTAAGATTTTCATAAGATGTGTAGCCACTTACTTTCCAGGAAGCACTTTGTATGATGTGCTCTCTTTTCAAGTGAACCATTTCTGTTGGGAAGTAAAGACAGTGAGGCATTAAATGCTGTTTAATAGTGAAATTTTCCAAAGCAATGATACTTCTTCTAAATAGTGCACCTTTGCTTACCTTTTAAATTGATGGCTGTGTGAGACCTGATATTTATGTTTGAATCAGAGGAGGAACGATGAGCCACCAAGGATGATGTTGCAGCCGCTCAGTGTGCGCCTGAGCTCAGGAGTGGTGATAAGCAATTCTTCATTGAGTCTGCAAGACCTAGACACCCCAGATAATGAGCTGATCTTTGTATTGACAAGACTGCCTGCTCACGGTAAGGCACGCACTGCAATGGAAGCCTTCTTATTTGAGGTGCCCAATGGGTTATTAGAATAAAAACATTGATTTCAGCTGGTTATTCCTTTGCTTTTCTTGTTTGTGGTCCATTCTTTGCATCAAAGTGTGATCAAAATCACAGCTGGTTAGTATTCATTGGGGTTATGGTAGACACTGGTTGCTTAAAAATCCCAAATTCTCGGATAGTGTTGCCTCAAATTTTATTTCAACTGTTATCTAACTTTCCCATGTAAACCTGAAGCAGAGTGGGTTTCAAAGCCAGCTTTTCCTCTTTTCAGTGTGTGCACCATTGCCTTGGAATCCTGGGCCTTCCCATGTGGCCTCGGAATGGTATACTAGACAGAAACTTGTATTAATTTGGGAAGAAAACACTTTCCTGACATAAGCAAAATGAAAAAAAAAATCATTGTATGGATCTTCTACCTACTTTTCTCATTACCATCCTGCTGTAATTAACTAATCCAGGGTAGCCTAAACGATGTGTCCCATTCTGCCATAATGCCCAACTGGTCCTTTATAGATGAAACCCTTGCTGCTGACAGAGTGAAGAGCAGAATGTGTTGGCATTATAGCTTGCCTTCTTTCACTCATTTCAATTGCGGAAGCACTCTAATCATTTCATTGCATCATATTTCCTTTGAAAACACAAACCTCATACCTGCAGATGCATGGTATCTTTCTGAATTTAAAACATATTCACAGCATCCTCTCCAGATGCCTTAAGAAGGGCAGTGAGTGAAGGATGCTCTTCTCAGTTTGCAAATGGGAAAGGTAAAGTTTAGAAGGTTTACAAGTGAGTTTGAGTTAATGAAGGGAAATGTGACAACTCTTCCATTGTTTAACCACATCCGTCTACATCTCCATCAGACATTTCTAAGCAGGAAAAGTGGGACTTTGTCATCGTTATTTGTAGGTGAGCTAATAGGGCAGTACTTTGTGCTTATCACCAAGAGCTTCCTAGGTACGTGATGTATTCCCACTCTCATATTAGTTAAAATCAGAGGCCAATTCTTTGATGTCATATGTGAGTGTGTTTTGCCATTGTCTATTCTTATTTCCTCAGGTCACCTTTTGCGGAGACTTACTGCTTCTGAGCCCCTGGAGAATGGGACAGCTTTGGTCCAGGGCTCTGCCTTTACCTACCAGGATGTGCTAGCTGGGCTGATTGGGTACCTGCCTGGCAACCATGAAGTAGCAGTGGATGAGTTCCAGTTCTCCCTCACTGATGGCTACCACGTGGACACAGGGAGGATGGAGATCCACATAGAACTGCCTACCAGTGATTCCTCTCTCTTGGTTATCAACCGAGGCCTACAGCTCTCAGCAGGTAAGCACAGAAATAGAGTCGTTATGGTCCTTCTACCCTCATTTCCTCTTTGGCCAGTGGGTGGTCCTTCCTCCCATAGTATTGTTTCTATGGGATCATCAACTGACTGGCCTGTACTTGTAAATGCTTGAGTTTTAGAGAACCATTGTTTTAGGGACAACTAAGAATGAGTGATAAGGAAATGTGTTTTGCCCAGTGGTGAGGCATCTTGGGACAATCACATTCTACATCACTGTGCTGGAGTTCGACTTTTGGCTCTGTTCTTAATTCTAGCCTCCTGCTAACTTGTACCCTGGGAGGCAGCGAGCAATGGTTGAAGTACTTGGGTCCATGCTTCTTACATAGAAGAATCATATGGGATTTCCGGTCTCTAGGCTTCAGCCTTTTGCACCCTGGCTGTTGATGACTAAGGAGTAAACCAGCAGATGGAAGATCTGTCTCTCTGTCATTAAAAAAAAATTTTTTTTTCTTTTAGAAAATTCATTGAGCTGGAAACAGAAAGTTAAGAGCCTAGTACCTAGACCTGTGGGTCTAGGTGTGATAGTTTAGCCTCTCATCTCCTAAACTCATTTGACATCTCATTCCAAGCACATGATGAGGAAGGATCTGCTGTCTTCTCTCCCAGGATCTGTAGCACGCATCACGGAGGAGCACCTGAAAGTAACAGATCCCAACTCGGATGACCTTCAGGTGGTGTACATCATGAAAGAAGATCCTGGCACAGGGCACCTGCAGATGGTTACACAGGACAACCTGCAGAAAATTTCTGTGAAAGGTCCCCTCCGAAGTTTCACACAGGCAGACGTGAGCCAAGGTCAGCCGCTTCTCTCCTACCTAAGAAGACTCCACAGTCCCTGCCTGTAGTTCTGAGCTCAGAGTGCTTGGCAGGCTACGGCAGTGAATTATGCAGTGTTTGTTTTCAATAAGAACTGAGTTGTGGCTTCATTTATTCCCCCTCTTGTCACCTCATTTTCTTTTATTTGTTGTTGTTTTTTTCCTGTCCTGTCCTTCCTTTTCTGCTTTCCTTTGTTCTTAAATAAACCCGTCTTTCTTGGCTAAAATGCACTCAGGCTTCGACACAGCACTGATGAAACTTGGGGCTATTATAGAGCTATTATGGATTGCTGTGATGCTCAAAAGTGCGTTTGAGAGAAGAAAGAAAGCGGTGTGCTGGGATGGATTAAGGGGAAAATTATGCCTGCCTTCTGTAAGCAATTTATATCCCTTTTGTACTCCCCAGTGTGCACAAGTTCATGAACTAAGCAAAAGGGAGGGGCATAAATCAGTGCTACCTGGGGGCAATCATGTGCCTTGTCCAGGAAACGCTGATGGAACACGCATCAGCGTCAGATGCTACATGGTTACTGTACTGAGACGTCAGAGGCAGAAGAAAGAACTAAAAGTGACATATTGGAGAGCAAAGGTGGTCCAGGCTCACGAGATGCTGTGCGACTCTGTAGTAGTGGAAAATCCAGTGTGCCGCTGAGGAGCTGAGACAAGCATCTGGTCCACGTAGGAAGCTCTAAGCTTGACAGAAGCTGAATTTACAATGGCCCTGTCTGTGTTTTAGTGGACAGGCTTGAAGCACAAAGGGAACTTGTTTCTTAATTTGTCCCTGGCGTGGCATCTGCTTTTATAAAATGAGTTCAGACATTTGGTTATATTTACATTGAGAGGTTCTTAGCAATGATGCTGGGGTTTAACCAAAAACACAATGCACCATCCACCCGCCTCTCCATCTTTGGACTTTTTGCCTAAGATGATGTTGGGATTTCTGTGCAGTGCTTATTGGCTGCTTGATTATAGCCAGGTTGGTCCAGGTCCCAGACAATGGGGAATGAAGGGTTCTGAGGTGAGGCTTAATTTCCTCTTGTGCCACAAAGTGGAGATATGATACGGTCACTCCAAGGAGTGGAGGTGTGGTTGCTGTACCTCCTGCTTCAGGGATGTGTTTCATCAGGCCTTCCTCGAGAGGCTGACTGATCTTCCAGAAAGGCTGAGCCTCAACCGTAAGAAATGTTATTGAGGGTGACTTTGTTAGGAGACGTTCTTTGGTTATATGCCATTCAATAGAGAAAGGAAAGGGGAAAATTGAGAACTTTATATTAAATGTCAAAAGCAGCATCAGAGAGAGGAAGTTGTCAACTGAGTCATGAGTGTGAATGCCAGCAGAAGTCCCAATTCTCACTTACATGGAGACAGAGAGCACTAACAATACATCTTGTTGCTTTCCCCTTATTTTTAGGGCAAGTAGAATACAATCATGGAGCAGGAAATCCGAGTGGGAACTTTCCTTTTAAATTTGATGTGGTTGATGGAAAAGGCAACCAATTGATGGGCCAGTCATTTTCCATCAAAGTTTCAGGTAAGGAGGATTAGTTTTGCCTAATATAAAGAAACTTCAGCAGATCTAGAGGTTATGAAGTTTACAGTGTGAGACTGATCTTGAGACTTGAGCCCTGTCCTTTACCTCGATGGGACAGAGATGGAGAAATTATATTCTCTAGGTAACATGAACCTCTGGCTCCCTGCTGCCCTCTCAAAGGGACAGCTATAAAGATTATTTGAAATTCTAGCAATGCTAGAGTTATAAGCCAGTTCAGACCATCCGAAAAACAACTAAGTTCAGCAAAATCACGCTTCAACACTATAAACAGCTAAATACAAAAATAAAAATAGACAAGACAGCTGAATAGTAATCTATAGCCATTTTGAGCTGTATGGAATCCGGTTGAATATAAACCAAAAATTGAAATGTCTATGAAGAAGTCACAGGATGTAGTTAAGAACCCGCATTTTCCTATTAACATGTTGTTAATCAATATCATGTCAATTAATGCCATAAGGTTGTAAATGGTTGTTGATGCTATGTCAGGGCTTTTAATTGATTGGGATGATACTTTGCTGGCTTTACCTTCAGACCAGAGATGGTCTCACCAAGAAATCATTGAACCCACTAGGATAATAAGATACTGACTTTATGCTTGGTAAATACTTCCAATGAAAGAACCTCAACTGAATCTGAACTGTGGTAATGCAGCAAGGTGGAGAAATCCACGATGGGGAGAGGGTTCGGGGAGGGGTGGGGGGAATCCCAGTGCCTATAACACTGTGTCACATAATGCAATGTAATTAATAATAATAATAAAAAAGATTATTTGAAATTGCCCCAAGTGTCAGGGCCAGAACTAAAGGAAGGAGGTAGAAAACATCCCATTTTCAGTCACTGTTTCTGATGTTTTCAGAAGGCAAATCCCCACCCATCATCATCACCAACAAAGGGCTAAGCTTGGATGAGAACTCAGTGAAGAAAATCACCACTTTGCAGCTATCTGCCACTGATGTGGACAGTGATCCCGCAGACCTGGTTTACAGAATCACCAGGCAACCCCAGCTGGGCCACCTGGAACATGCCACATCACCCGGTAAGACTCGTTTCAGTTGGAACTTAGTGACAACAACATTATGTGTATATAGGCATTAGAATCTGCTTTGTCTTCCTCATCAATGTATACCATTATTTACCTCCTTGTACTTTTACACAGTAGCTATCTGATAATTATTTGCTGAAAGTGAATGGCAGAAATTTTAGGTAAAAACCACATCTTCCTAACTAGTCAACACACATCTTTTTCTTTGTCTACACTCCCTTAAATACATGGCTCACTGCAATTCACCATACCTGAAAATTCATCGTGACAGATTATATATTAGCCCGTGTACAGAACAAGACTCTAATGTAGCTTCGGCTCAGGAAACAAAGATAAATGAAATACATACCTCCCCCTCCAGAGTACTCTTTCAGCCGAGAGCTGCAACTTAGGAAACATGGGAAGTGTTAGCAGAAAAGGAATAAACCTGGTGTTGGAAGAATAATTAAGTATTAGGTGGAAAAGGGCCCAGAGGTAGCATTTAAGAAGAAATTTGGGGCAGATTTGGGGCAAACAGAAATTGTTTTCTTCCCAGAAATGGGACCAGCATGGAAACAAACAAACAAAAAAAAAGTGATGATTGGGCCAGTAAAGCTGAACCTTCTATTCTGAAAAGAGCAGGTGACAGGGCCCAGAGGTCAACTGAGAATATAAAGATGGTCTTCGAGGTTGGCTTAGGAACCTTTAATTCAGAAGGCAACAAGGTATCAATGGAAAAATGTAGGCAGGGAAGGGAAGTGCAAGATATCAGGTAGTGTTCAACAGGCTGAACCAGAGGAATGCAAAAGGAGGTGATGGCAGTGGTTGGATGTTTCACACTGGCCCCTTAGGTGGTACAGAAGCTTTGTCTTGAGGGGTGTTGGTGTAAGACTAAGATGAGAACAATTTGAGAGATAACGCCTGGCACCTAGGATGTATTCATTAAACCATTTTTGGTTGAACGAATAAAGAAAGGAATTTCAAGGGAGAACCTGTAGTAACTAGCAGCTGCGTGAAATGAGGGATGAGAGATGTTTACTGAGTAAGTCATTTGAAGGTAAAAATTGTCATTATTCCTTAGGGCATAAAGGAAGTGCCAGCTTGTTCAAGATTTGGATTTTCTATGGTTTTCTTTGAAGTTTACATTACAGAGTCTTCATTCATTCAGCGAGGGAAATGGCCACAGAAGGGGAGCCCGTGCCCAGAGAGTCAGGCGGTGAGCACACAGGCAAACAGCTCACATGCTATGTCAGACGTTAGGGAGGAGCGCAAGGAGCAAGTAAGAGGCGTCCTGAACAACAGAATGGCATTTGAGCATCCTGAGATGCTGGGAAGTGCAGTAGCCACACAGGCTCCCGCAAGGCAAAAGTATTGTGGACAGAGAGCTCCCTAGGGGGACACAGCCTAAAGTGTGTCAGCCAGGCAAAGCAGGGTCAAGACCCACGGAGACCAGCCAAATAAATGAGGGAGAATATGCAGGGAGATGGGCTTTGAAAAGTGGAAGGGGGACAGGCAGAGGTGGGACAGGAGTAGAGCATGTCTGAGCCCAGGGTGATGGAGGAGGAGGGAGTGCTGGGCCAACAAGGCAGAATGCTACAGAGAGGAATGGACAGGTTGCCTCCCATCTCCTATGCAGACACAAGCAGGTGGCTTGCCCTTTTGTCCTGGAGTTCCTGGAAGGAAGTATGCAGCTCAGTACCCCGCAAGAGCTTGGCTGCATGAGATATTTGATAAATAATTCATGAGCTAATTGCTTCTGCCAGGATTCTGTCAGGTGGCTGATGGTATCTCTCCAAAGATGAAAGGGCAGATTCTTGGCAATTGTGTAAGGTGACTACATGCACACTCTACAGAGCTCTACAAAGTGGCAAGCTTCATCCACGCACCGCCAGTTGCCCACCTGCTGCTAAGTCACAGGCCCCTGCCCTTTGCTGATCCCAGGCTGTGTGAAGAGCCCAGCATGGGGTACTATAGAATCTTTCTTGGTTACGTATTTCCAGGCTCTTCTAGATTTAAAATTGGACTGCCAAAACAGAACCTATTCTACTTAAGGAGAGAGGGGTAGGTGGTCCAGCTCCTTCTCCCCAGTCCCAAAACAGGATCCTCTAAAACTGGGGGAACACTCTCTCAACCTGGGGTGGTTCCTTCACACACCCTTTCCCCACAAGCAGAACTTCCTAATCTGTCTGTGTCTTCCCCCACCCGTGCCAGCTTTTCTCAATCTGCCTGTTTCCTGCCACTCTAAGCGAGGGGGATGCAGAGTTCCAGTGTCTGCCCCTTTTGTCTTGGGACCCTTCCATTGCCAGTAGGTGTGAGCTGTCCCCACTGCCCCTCCCTCGCCACCAACCCCACACTGAGCCCCTTCTGTGGACATGACCGGAATTCTTTCTTTTCCTGTCTCCTCCAAGTGGGTACATTTTCATGTTTGATTCTTTTCAAGCGTTGAAGGTCTCCCCTTGGAGGAAGTACACTTGACTTCTCACCAGCCTCTTAGAAGCAGCTGGCTGACTTAGAACAAAGCATGTGCCTCAACAGAAAGGATGGGTCTACCAGGAGTCAGGGCTGGCTTGTTCTTAGCAAGAGCACAGCGACTTCTAGGCCAGTGTCTTCCTAAATGTGAATGCTGAGCTATTTGGGGACTGGACGCCTCCTGGAATAGTCGTTAACCGCCAGCCCTGGCACTCTCTTGGTGGCCCATTGTGAAATGTACTTAACCCCATGCTGTCTTTCTGGGTCAGCTGAGTGTAACTGATGGCCGTTCTCTCTAGACTAAGTGGTATGAAAGCCCTGTCTTTTCTCTCATAGAGTTATACGTCTTTGCAAGCTGTGCAGAGGACAAGTTTAAGCCCCCACCCCTGAGGAGGGTCCAGCATGTGGGGGTCTAAGCAGTCCTGTGTGTACTGCCCTTCATAGCTGGAGCTGTACCCTCCTGCCAGGATTTCCCTCCACTCCTAGACTTTCTCTCTGAGCATAAGGAAAGGCAGGTGCAAAAGCTAAGATAGAAGCTAAGCTGCTGGAACAGAGATCCCAAAATAACAACAATTTAAGCAAAAGAAAAAAAATCTTTTTCTCCCAGAACAAAGGCAGGTGGCCCTGGAGCCTGGGCTGGCTCAGTGACCCTCAATCCGAGGCATCCATCTTGGCCCAAGGTGACCATTGTATTTGTTGCCCCAGTCAGCGGGAGTGGGAAGAAACTGCAAGCGCCTATATCTGTTTGTTAGAAGCATTACTGGAAGAAGTCATGTTGCTTTCATCTCAGCCCCGGCAGAAAACAGTCCTGCAAAGCTGAGAGGTAGTTCCTGCTGAGCATCCAGTTACTTAGCTAGTAATCAGAATTGTCTTTTTTTTTCTTTTTCTTTTTTTAGAAATCACTTATTTGTAAGGCAGGGAGACAGAGAGAACCATCTACTGATTCATTTCCCAGATGATCACAATAACTGGGGCTGGGTCAGGCCAAAGCCAGGAGCTTCCTCCAGGTCTCCCATGTGGGTGCAGGGGCCTAAGCACTCGGGTCATGCTCCACTGCTTTCACATTAGCAGAGAGCTGTACTGAAAAATGAACAATCAGGATGCAATCCAGCATCCATACTGGATGGTGACACTACAGGCAGAAGCTTAACTGACTGCACCACAATACCAGCAGGAATTGTCTTTTTAAAATCAGAGAAGGGTCCTATTGGAATTTAACCAATTCCAGTGCAACACTGGTTCTCAGGAGACAGTGCCTGTGTTTGCCACCCTGGGGTGCAAGTGGTCTTCCTTCTTCAGATAGGAACTACACACACATTTACAGAGCAGGAATGGGGTTGCTACATGTCCCACAGGGAATGTGTTGAGTCCTGGCTTAAATCATTGTTCTGTTCAGGAGTCTAATAGCACTGTTAGTGAGGAACACTGGACTACCGCATTGCATCTGGAGTCTGAGACCTTGCCTTGACTTTGAGATGACTCCTAGTGCAGCATGCTGAGATCAGCACAGCTCCAGAGGCTAGTGGCGACCCAGCCCCCCGCCCCCTGGCTCACTTCAGTCCCCTACCACATGCACCAAGATGAGCTGAGCAGCTACTGCTTCCAGAAAACAGCCACACATTGGGCCTCACTCAGAGATGTGCATCCTTGAGCAGCTTCACCACCATGCAAGCATCACACTGTGTGTTTTGTGTGATGCTGTGGGCCTGCCAGTCAGTACAGCCTCTTAATGCAAACCAGGCAGTCATGAGATACCAGAAGCATGAGCACTGTCACATAGCAGACAACCTCAACAGACTAGTTTATAGTCAGCCTTTGTTGGAGTGGGCCTGCACCCTAACATCACTGTAAAAAGTGGAAGAGAGCCCATGCGTAAGCCCGTCACATTGCTGTTTGTGATCATTATCAACGTGCTGTGTATCACTGTATGTGCTGTACCAATCTATGACTGGCTTCCTTTACACTGCATCACCACAAATGCATGAGGAATATATCGAGCCGTGTTGTCCTGACAGCTATGACATCACTAGCTGACAGGAGGTTTGGGTGTCCATTATGATCATCATAAAGGAGTATATGGTTCATGACATAGTGAATGCCTTGCTTCAAAGTGGGCTGCCTCATGCTGGCACGCCCTTGCCAGCTACCACACACCTTCCTCAAAGGTGGTGATGACATGTGACCCCATGACTGCATGAGGCCACACGCTCTGCGATCCATCAGGATTTCTACAGACATTTCAAACACATCAGGTGATACTTTGCTGGCAGGTAACCAGGTGGCTCCTTCCCTCTCCTGAGTAAAGCAGCCCCAAGTGTTTTCCTCTCCTGATGGCAGCCCCCGAGAGCTGAACCTGAGCCTTGAATCCACTTTGCAGCTGAAGGCATCATGTGGGACAGGGCCAGCTGAGGGCATCATGCTGAGGATGGCTCCTGAATCCCACAGGTGACACCAGAGGTGTCTAGAAGCCACCAAACCTCTTGGTTTGTTGGGGTGAACTTTTCAATGCAGAGTGCTCGGCTTCATGCAACCCTGAGAAGGTGAGC